GATCCTAAACAGTCCTTATTTTATATTTTTACAGAAATTTAAGGCTGGGGAAAATCATCTATTGTTATTTACTTTTATTTTTCAGAACAAAATTATGTTTGACAAACCTTATTTATCACATGCCCGATGCAACTGGTAATTTTGGTCCCAATAGTTTTGTCACTATTAGCGATACTAACTTTGGACTTCTTAATGTTAATTTTACTTTTTGCGTATTTCACTATATCTCGAGATCTATATAAGCGAAATGAAAAATTTTGGCATACAATTATATAATTTGTTTATTTAAAGGTAATTCCATGAAAAAAATAACTTTTGATAAATTTTATTTAATAATGGTCGAAAAATTTTGCATCGTCAGGTATACAGTTTTTTGCATCATTTTAAAAAATATAATTTTACATGGCAAAACACAAAATTTTAGCCAAATCGGTTTAATTGTTCCTGAGAAATTGAATTTCAAATAAATCGGATATTTAAAATTCGATTTTCAGAAACTATTCAACCGATTTCTCTCGAATTTTGTATTTTACCATGTAAAATTACGTACTTTAAAATTATGTAAAAAATTGTATACCTTACAATTCAAAAAATTTTCGACTCCTGGTTTAATAAAATAATAAATATTTACTATTTAATTTTTGCATGAAATTATCTCTGAATAAATGAATTTTATTACTGTGTGCAAACATTTTTCAATTCGCTGAAAAAGTTCTCGGGATATAGGGAAATATGCAAAAATTTAAATTAACATTAAGGGGTTTAAACTGTGGATCGTTCTCCTGACCAAACTACTTTTTATTCTTTGATCTTGTCACTTGACGAAGACTTTTCAATTACTGAAAGCATTATATACAAAATAAGTCAAGATTTGTGTTCTTGCTATTATTCATCCCAAATTTAAATTTTTTTTTTTAATTTTTTTTTTTTTTAAATTTGACGTAACATTTTTATTTTTGTCATCATATATACCAATATTAGTTTTGAATAATACGAAATTTAAAAAAAATAAAACTGAAAATTCAGAAACTCAACTAGGAAAAAATGTGTTATTTAAATTAACTTAAGAAAACCTTCATTTTTACCATCCATAAAAATCTTAAATAAATATTTAAAAAAAATAAATAAGCAATAAAAAGAAGGAATCCAAAATGCAAGGAAAACTTTCTAATTTTTTCCGCCGTCCTTGCTGAAATCATCTTTTACGTGTTAGTGGCATGAAAACAGCTGCCTTCGATCGACTATCTATATGCGGGCAGTGTTTTTCCTTGTGTTTTGTTAAACAATGCACCTCTCGCCATGACCTTGTGTTTACAAACCGAGTCCGTTCGCAGTTTATTTTTTTCTTTCTCAAGTCCACCTGCATTGTAGGAGTGGCGAACGAAATAGTTTTGATTCATTGAATTTAAAAAAGCACGCTCATCCTTTAATTTTTCTAGTTCATCTTCACTTTCTCTATTTTTTTCTTTTCCGTATTTACAAGTGGTGACATAATCATAACCTGTATTTTGAAATAGTATACATATTTTAAAATACTGGTTACGTAATGTCTAACACACCTAATTTTAAGTGACAAAATCTAATATTTGACTAGAATCGATCGATTATTAAACGAGAAATTAAAACAATAAAATTTTTTAAATGTATTGCTTAGAAACTATTTGGTAGATTTTTATCAAATTTAGGATTTTGTAGTTTAAAAATTTTGAATTTATCTAGAATTTAAAATGATAATTTAAAAGAATAAAAAGTTTGTATATTTTTCGAGTCAAAAATTTTTTGACCTTTACTAAATAATGCTTAAAATGATCTTTGAAAAAAAAAAAAGCTTTATAATTGTGTCCAAAACTTGTTTGATATGTTTAAACTGTTTCAATGATATGGCAAAATATGCAAAAACTAAAATTTACACGAAGATGTTTGAATCGACAATAATTAGAAAATTTCTGAGCAGTGTCATATCCGAGGGGATGGTTCAGAGGAGCTTCCCCTCTCCTGAAATGAGTAAGAAAATTCACAATTGGAAATATGCAATATTTTTTTCCCTCCATTTTATTGAAGGGAAAAAACCTGTTTAAAATGAACTGAAATATTGTTAGGATTAGCTTTATTTCTGGTGTTCAAATTAGTTTCATCAATTAAATTGATGTTTATCTTAAAATATCTTCAAAATCATAAATTTTGTTATTGTAATAAAAGTAATAATGAATCATCACTTTTGAATTGTATTTTATTTATTTAAAAACCACCATTTTAGTTAGGTAAAATTATTTAGCCTCCCCTGCCAAATGAAATCCTGACTATGCATATGCTCTTGAACCATTAAGATGGCATGTTAGTTTGTGAAAATCCAATTATTAGATCAGAAATTGTTCAGGAGATTTATTTCCCCTACATACATAATGTTTTCCTTTCTATAATCTATATTTCTATTCTTTTTTTTAAGTTTTTTTTAAATGCTGCTTATCTTTGCAAATGTTTTGACTAAAACAATTTATATGTCACAAAATCACTACAACTTTGTAATAGGAAGAACATCCATTAAATATTCAATCATTTTTGTTTAATCACATACTTGTAAGTGTTGTGATGTATGGTGACATATGATGACTAATGATGACACAGCATTTGTATTGTTTTAGAAAATATTCACACACGCATATTGCCATTTTCATGTGTTATTACTAAATATATAAAGAGGATTTTATTTATAAAACTATTGAAATTGATTTTTCTTTTCTTTTTTTTTCTGTGAAACAAAAAGAATCTTATTTGTTTAAAATCTTTTTTGATTAAAAAAGAAAAAAACTTTGCTACTTTTCTCTTGTATATTATTATTATATTTTTCATATAGTTGCAACATAAGTTTTCATAATTTTCTTTTGCTAACAGCACTATGCAGAAAAATATCTTAGTGATTGCAAGCAGGAAAAATGTTGCTTATCCTTATAAAAAATTCTCCCAATTTCTTTGTTTCTCATTTTTCATTGCTGTTAAGAATTCTTTTTTCCAAAGAAAAATAGTTTAGTGATCATCATAAGGTAAACAGCAAAACTAATTCCAAGATTACTCATGAATTTTAATTTTATGTATAGAAGAGAGGCATGTATGTTCTTCAGATTTTATGACCCTATGACTTTATTTTTTATTTTATTTTCCTATGAACCATAGCGTCTAACCCCAATTGAGTTTTCTAAATGCATATTATTGTTAGTTTTACGCTTTAAGTTTTTATGTTATGTACTATGCATATTATTTAGGATATTTTGTTTGATAAAGAAAATAGTTGTTAATCAATGATTTATTTCATTTTTTACACTTTTTATTGATTTTTATGAAGCAGATATAATTTCAGCATAAATATGCTTTGCAACGATGCTTGACATTCATCTAATAACAGAGTTTTTGTCATAAAATAAACAATTATTTACCTTTGGAAAAAACAGCCGACATATTTCACACGCTGGCAAAAAGAGGCCTATTTTCAAGACTTGGCTTGAAAATGGGTGTCTGTTTTTGAGTGCTTGAATCACACCAACTGTTATTTCCAATTTGTATATTTCTGAAGCGAATGAAGTTTTCAATCTAATATCTTGCCACTTCAGTTTCTTGGGATTATTTATTTAAGTATTTACCTATTGACTTTTTAGAAATATTGGGTTGTTCGAAAAGTAATTTCGTTTTTTTTGGACGAAAATGAAAGACAATTTTCGTATAATGAATAAATATTTTATAAAATTATTTATTGCCCATTCTGGTCCAACACCTTTTGCCATCATTCTGGTGGTAGCATGATTCCACGCTCATAAAATTTTTGGTCTTTGCCGGTAAAAAACTGATCCTGGTGATTTTTGACTTCTTCATTTGAAGTAAAGGTTTTACAGACCAAAAAATTTTGTAGTGAGCGGAACAAATAATAATCCGAGGGCGCCAGATCTGGAGAATATGGTGGGTGTGGCAGTGTATCCCATTCAAGCTGTAAAAGCTTTTGGCGAGTGACCGAACTTGTATGAGGTCTCACATTACTTGGTGGAACACTGTACCTTTTCTGTTGAAGAGCATCATTCAATTTGTCCAGATGACGACATAAGTATTGTGTTAGCCGGTAAAAGCTAAAGAAATAACTATTCCTTTAAAATCCCACCAAACAGACATCATCACCTTTTTTTGATGGATATTGGCTTTTGAAATGCTTTAAGCTGGTTCATCTTTTTTGCTCCATGATCTCTTGCATTTGACATTGTTATAGACAACCCATTTTTCGTCCCCAGTAATGATGCACTTCAAAAGTGGATAATTTTCTTGATGTTTGAGAAGCGAATCACAGATGTCAATGCGACGACACAAATTTCTCTCCGTGAGAACATGGAGAACCCATATTTCGAGGTTAAACCTACGCCTTTCAAGTGGTCATAAACAGTTGAATTCGATAAATTTAACCTCTCACCGATCTCACATGTTTTTATTTGACGATTTACATCAACTAATGCCTTTATCGCATATTTTTCAGCTTCAACGGGCCTTCCAGAACTTGGTGCATTTCGACATCCAAATTGCTGGATCGAAATTTTGCGAACCAATTCTGGCACTGGCGTACTGTCAACACATCTTATTTATACACATCGGTAAATTTTTTTCTGGCATGAACAGCATTTTTATCTTTTCTGTAGTAAAATATTACGAAAATGCTGTTTATTGCTCTCCATATTTAAAAGGGCACCAACCAAAAACTATTGTGTTGAATTAATTGAACTTTTTCACACACAAGCCTTGCTATATCAGCTCTCAAAACATATAATGATAATGCGGCTTAAGTGTGAAGTTGGGTTCGAAAAAAATACAATTAAATCCTCTGTCGGAAAAACGAAATTACTTTCCGAACAACCCGATACAATTTGGGAAAAAAAGAAATCTATAGATTAAATTATTCCTTCTAAAGTTGTCTTATATGAAAAGTGCTATGTGTCTCTTTATTTAAAATTGACTTTTTTCCCCTTCAGGAACAAGGCCATTGCAGATTACTTGGCATCGAGTGGATACATGGATGCCTTGGAAGCATTCAAGAAAGAATCAGATCTGGTATTAAATACTACTTTCATTTAATTTTTATGTTTTGAAAACATTTTTTGGATACTAAAACGTGCATTATAATATTTTTAGCATGGTGAAATGGATAAAAAGTACTCAGGTATACTTGAAAAGAAATGGACTTCTGTCATTAGGTTACAAAAGAAGGTTTGTTTGTTTTGTTTTTAGCTTAATCTATTGTATTCCTCTGAAAATTAATAGAGGCAGATTTGTTTCTAGTTTTCTTAGACCTTAGCATTTTGTAAACACCATATGGAGTGCATGTTTTGTGTATTTATCTCAGCTTATATAGCCAGGACCCGACTTAGCCTAATTGGGGCTCGGGGCAAAAACTTTTTGGGGGGCCTCCCCTCTGCTTCAGTAATGAAGAACCAAGCTTTATTTAGGTATTTAAATTTTTCACCTCTTTATAAATAACAAGAAAATTGACTTGACCCTCTGATGTGGGGCCCCGAGGCAACTGTCCCTGCCTTATCAGGCTCGGCTTATAGTGCTGTAAGGCTTAGTTCCTGTTGTGAGGCATTGTGAGTTCAACCAACAATAAATATCACGATGTAAGGTAATTTCATACTGTACTGGGATATTTCAACATTACTTGACCCCACTCCTCACAATTCAGAAATGTTCAAGAAATTTGCTTTGAAATATTAAAATAATATTACCTTATTTTTATCAATTTTGCTAGATTTAAATCCAGTTAAAAGTTTAGGTTTATACCGTTTGATGAAAGTCATGATAAAACAACGCTAGTCTATAAGTCTAGATCAATAATGGTGAAATAAAAAATTTGTGCATTAATTTATGGAGTTAATGTCAAAATTTCTTTTTAAGTCTATTGTACTAAAGTAAAATATAGGGCAGTTATCAAGTATATACAGGCCTAGTATTTATGAAAGCATAGTTGTTTCAAAAAAGTAGGTTTTCACTTTCTCTCAGATAATTTACATTTTATTAGTATAGCAGTTAATTCCTTTTGTACTACAGATTATTCTTTCTTTAAAAGAAAATAATGAAAATATAAGTGATTTTGCTTCATTGAAACTATTCTCTAGTACTAATTCAAAGTTTCTGGAGGGAAAAAAAAAGATTTTTTTTTTGTTGACTAGATTATTTGATATGCAGTTGTCTACCGCTTGCTTTAAAAAATATTAAATCCATGTTATCTTCGTAATACCTCAATATTGAAAGGAATAATCCTTAATGTCTCTGCATATAAATAATAGTCTCTAGCATTTAAATGTTATCTTGCATAACCGTGATTTGGGTGCTTTCAAGATCAAGAGAAAAATAACAATACTCATTTTATCATAAATTATCCATAGGTAATGCGATTAATACATGCTTTTTGTTTAATTTATGAAAATGAACACCTCACAAAATAACTTTAATTCACCTTATTCTAAATTACTTTAAACTTGTTCTGTCTTAAAATATACTTTTCAAATATATTTACTTTTGTAAAGTAACATATATTTCTTCAGCTGTTCTAAAGTCATGCAAAATGTATCTTTAAATTAGTAACTCGAAAATATATGGGTTTGAGTATCAATTGTTGTAATTTTTTTGTCTTAGACAGTTTAAATTCAAAACTAATTTTTTAGCCCACTTTAGGATCGATGTTTAATAGAATTTGAATTTATATAATTAAATATTTACTAATTTATCAATGTATATGTGTTTAAATTTTTTCATTGATGAGTATGCTTTATAATTGTGTAGTTTTCTTTGACTAATAGTTTAATTTTGCGGTAAATTAGATGTTATATTATTTATGCACTACTGGCCATTAAAATTGCTACACCAGTAAGAAATGCAAATAACAGAATGATATTTGTTGGGCACATGCATTATAGTTGGAAGAACAAGTGATAAAATTTTCTGGATATTTTGATGTATAGATCCTTAGGAATAAGTACTCAGAGCACCCTCCCCTGACAGCAATAACAGCAGTTATTCTCCTGGGCATTGAGTTGAACAGAGATTGGATAGCATGGACGGGAACAGAATTCCATGCAACTTTAACATTATGCCACAATTCATCAGCCGTAGTGACTGACGAGTGGTGGCATGCCAGTCATTCGGCAACCATTGACTAGACGTTTTCAATTAGTGAGAGATCAAGAGAACATGCTGGCCAGAACAACAGGCGAACATGTTCTGTGTCAAGGATGGTTAGGACAGTACGGGCAACATGCGATTGTGCATTGTCCTTCTGAAATGTAACGTTATGGAGGCTTCAAAGATAAGGCAGAGCAACTGGCCCTAACACATCAGAAATATAAAAGCTGCTGTTCAAAGTGTCGGCAATGCGAACTAGAGGTGATTGAGACGTGTATCCAATGGCACCCCATGCCATTGCTCTAGGTGATGGACCAGTATCACGTTGTCGAATGCAAGCTGCCAATGGGTATTCTCCACCATGTCTCCAAACACGGATGCGGCAATCTGTATGCAGAACATGGACTCGTCTGAAAAGACGACGTCATGCCATTCCTGCGTTCAGGTTCGTTGTTGATCACACCATTGGAGACGTTCCTGCCTGTGATGCACTGTCAACGGTAGCCAAAGCCATGGTTGCCGTGCTGACAATCCATGCTGCTGCAAACGTCGTCAAATTGTTCGTGCAGACACTTGGTGTCTTGACAATGACCCCATTTGTTGACTCAGGGTTCGTGACATAGGTGTGCGATTCCTTAAGGCCACGTGCATAACATGTCTGTCTTCTCAGCTGTTGGTGATGGGAGTCCGCTGAGATCCTACATGGCATTCCATATGACCGTAATGAACCTATCGATTCCATATTCTGCCATCAGTTGTGGGATCTCGACCAACCCAAGCATCAATACTTCGCTATGATAAACTGCAATCCCGGTAGGCCAAAATTCGACCTCAATCAAACTTAGACACGTGCTGGTAGGGGAAGGACACAGGCTGGTAGGAGAAGCACTCAAACACATGCTTCTCCTTCTTACACGAGGTGTAACAAAAACTTTTTTTACCCAAGAACAACGCACAAGTCCAATTTCTCTATGAGAAACTTACTGTCAAATCTCTTTTATACACATTGTAGGTGTCGCTACCGCCGCCTGGTTTGCCACTGATAAGCTAATCATTGGCATACCACAGCATGCTTTATCTGTCCTACAAATTTCACGTTCGTGGTGTGTCGCCTTCCTGGTGTAGCAATTTTAATTGCCAGTAGCGTAGATTGTGAAATATGATGCTAATCAAGATTAGGTGCTGCTTCTTTTTTTTCAAGACTTTATTCAACTTGTAGAGAATATTAGTGTTTATTTTTCATGTCCAAATAATCTTACAGCTAATTTACTCATCGTTTGTATTTGATTAAATTAATCTTGACGAAAATAACACTTGTAATTTTTTTGCATTGCTATTAAGGTTTGATAAAAAAATTTAAAAAAAAACATTTAATGAATTTATTTTCCTTATAGGTTATCGATTTAGAAGCAAAGTTAGCTGAAGCTGAGCGAGAGTTTATCGCTGGTGCTCCTACTCGTGACAAGCGATCACCTGCAGAATGGATCCCTCGACCACCCGAGCGACATTGCTTATCTGCACACAGAGCTCCTGTTACAAGAGTAGTATTTCACCCACTATATAATGTTATAGTATCTTCTAGTGAAGATGCAACAATTAAAGTGAGTCTTGCTTTTGTTCTCCTTTGTGCATTCGTGTATTTTTAAAATTTATTTGAAAAATAAATTTGTCAAATTCTACTTCCAGATATAATTTTTGGTATTATAATAAGCTAAAATTAAGCTGAAGCAGAAAATAATAAAGTGCAAATGAAAGTACAGAAATCGACATGCTGTAATTTTGGTTCTATAAGCAAGAACTTTCCTCAGTGTTTAAACACCAAGTAATTAGAGAAAAGTGAAGAATCACGTGTAAAGTAGTTAAACTAGTAAGGAAAATGGAACAAGTTTGAAAAAGATAATAAAAGAAGGTAGATAAGAAACACCTATGCAAATAGAGGGAATCCCTAGAGTACTAAAGATTAAATTAAAGTAGATTTCCAAATATTGGGTATACTAGAAAGATCATTAACTGCATTAGAATCATTCAAAGTATGGAAGGACTCCCAAAAATCAAGTTCAGTTGATAAAGAACAGTGTTGAATGATTTTAGTAAGAGAAAACTCTAACTTGTGATTAGAATTCCTATTGTATAGAGCAGTGGTCGGCAAACTTATTATCCAAAGAGCCAAATATAAACATTACAACATTTTTTTAAAGAAATTGGGAGCCAAATCTGCTTGTTTAGTAATCTTTTATTACACTAAATAAGTAGTACACTAAATAAAACTAAATTTCATACTTAATAAATATTTATTAATGCGAACAATGTGCTTGCATCTCCTTGGAAAGTTTGAGTAAGTCAGGTTTGCATGTTGTTGTTTTTAATTTTAGGCATGATTCCAAGTTTTCATCAATAAGACAACTCCTCAGTTTACTCTTGATAATGTTCATGCTTGAAAAAGATTGTTCGCATATGTATGTAGAACCGAAAAGGGAAAGAACAGCAAACACTAGCTTTTTCAACTGATCGTAAGAGTCAGGAATACAATTCGAAGCGTTGAAAATAATCATGTCTTCCTTCTTTAGGTCATTCAAAGCAGACCACTTGTGTTGTGAACTAAGATCAAATTTTTTCTTCTCCAATATTTCGAATTCAACAAGAAGACGTTCGAATTTAGAGCGCCATATCTCCTTGTTTTTTAAATCCAGCAATTGCATTTCAAAGCTACCAATGTCAATTTCAAAAGGAGATAATTTCAACTCTGTTATTGTAGCATTAAGAGGATTTTTGACAAATACTAAAGTTGCTCTGCTGTTTTTAAAGTCCTGAAACCTGCTGAGAAATGTTGTTTATCAATAGAGGAATTATTTTCTTGGCGATGCTTCAGCAAGCTCGGAAAGTGAAACAATGTTTCCCTTTCAAAATCCTGAGCAGAAATGGATAATTTGTTTTAGAATGTTATTGCTTCTTCTAGCATCGAAAAAATTAAGTTTCCTTTCCCTTGTAATTTGCGATTAAGGTGATTTAGATGAGACGTAACGTCTACCATGTAATAAAAGTTTTTAATCCACTGATCGTCTGTTAGTTCTTGATAGTGAACGCCCTTCTCAAGGAGAAATGCTTCAATTTCCGGAAAAAGAGACACGAAACGTTTTAAAGCGTTCCCTCTTGATAACCAACGTGTTATGAAGCAGAAGATCAGCGTACTCACTCTCCATTTCAAATAAAAATTCTTTGAATTGGTGATGATTAAGAGCTTTAGCTAAAATGGAGTTGATAATGGTAATCACTAATTCCATAACTTTACAAATTTTATCCGGAAATGTTTGCGCACAAAGGGCTTCTTGGTGAATGATACAATGGTAAACAAGTATGTCGTGATTAATTTTTTCTTTCAAAATAGCAACAAACCCTTTTCTTAAGCCGGTCATACTTTTGGTCCCATCTCTTGAATCTACACAATTTTATCGAAGGGAATATGATGTTTATCCATACACTCAATTACAGTATGTACGATATCTTCTCCACGCTTCTGACCTTTGAGTGGCAATAATCCTAAAAGTTCTTCTTTAGAGCCTGAATGGGACATAAATCTTATAAAAAGTGAAGCTTGCGCTGTATTATTTATGTCTCAAGACTCGTCAACTGCTATTGATAAAGCCGAAACCAATTTCAGATCTTCGATATACTGGGTGGTTTTATTCGAACACATTTTAATTGTTCTATATTTAATGGTTTTGGCAGACAATGGTGCCTCTTTAATTCTTTCAGAATATCTGCTTTGTTCTTAAAATCCCGAAATAGCTCTTTGGATTAATTTATCAAAATAAGATGTAATTTTTTCTTACCAAGTTTTTTGTAAATGAAAATATTATTGTTGCCGCACTTAAGGAGCCAAAGAGCCACATGCGGCTCTGGAGCCGCACTTTGCCGACCACTGGTATAGAGCAATGGAAGATCAGTAAATGTGTCAGATTATGAATTTCAATGAACAAGGTTTGAGTAAGAGTCAGAGATCACGAGTTCGAAAAACCTCTGAAAGAGGGAGTTCGAACATTTAAAAATAATTTAAAGACAGAATTTGCATAGTATTAATTTTGAGTGTGTAAGTACCCTCATTATGCAACTGTTATTTTGTATATATATAACAAATCAAGATTGGATTTGAAGTTTCTTTTGATTTTCATGACTGTATGTATTGACCATCGTTACCTCATGTTATGGAGAGGATTGTTTTCTATTATTATGTTTAGGTTTAGTTATGATTTTTCTTGCTTAATAAAAGTTCTGGTTAGTTCAAAGATGACTTTTTCATTATGCTTGCTAAGTATTTTCCACAACGCACTAAACTCTGCCAGCAAAATTTCCTGATTTAGCACATATCTTTTGAGTTCTTTAAGTCAAAGTTTATTAAGTCATTATTTATTTGCTTTTGTCTACATAGCACAAATTATATTCTATCCTTTTGGATAGAAATTAAACTAGTATTTTCAATATTTATGAAATAAAAGAAAATATCTATTATTAATATGCTGTTTTTGCATGCTTCCCTTTAAAAAAAAAAAATTTTTTTTAACGTTATTTATATGTTTGCAGATTATTTTAGTATAAATTACATTTTTTGTATATATTTGTCTACAATTATAATAATTCTGAATGAGTCAAATTTATTATCTTTTGGAACCTTCACTAAAAATTGACTTGTGAGAACAAAGATACTATTATCACAATGTTGTTAAAAGAAGGGAAAAAAAACTATTATACTACTCTCCAAAATTCACTTTCACTAAACCTAAGAAAAAAGTGCAGAGTAATGATATTTGAAACTATTGTTAGTCTTTGATTGAATTCATGAGTATCTTTGATTTTTGATAGCTTACTCTTAATTCAATTGCTATAATTTTTCACCCTCTTTAACATCAAATTGTAAGAAGAAAATGAAGACTGTGAAAAATTTCTGAAGAAGTTATAATAAATTTGACATTTGAAGTTATAATATTTGATTGAGCCTTACTATCAAACATCTTTCAATGCTTCAAAACTCCTGATGAAATAAGATTTCAATAAAAGGCTCACCTCCTAGCTTTTAAACGAAGCTAAAGGAAAGACCTGAGAGGGCCTCACGAGCTCAAAACCCACTGTTCCAGATCTCCCTCTTTGCATAGCAGTGACGTTATTTCGTCTTTTAACTGGATACGATTTCTGAAATTCTCATCGTTGAAAATTGCTCGTAAAGACTCCTGTTTTCACTCTTTGTAACTCTGGACAACTTATAATGCTAAACTTATTGATATCAAACTATTTTACTTCTTCTTAAAGACTTACTTGTATGCATTCTTTGCAATTCTGGACAGCTTATGATATTCAGCAAGTTGACAGATATGTTGCATTAAACACTTTTACTTCTTCTTAAAGACTCTTCCATTGCACTTTTTGTCACTCATGACAAATTTTGAATTTTAAGTATATTATCAAATGTGTTGCATTAAACTCTTTTATTTCTTCAAAGTATTGGGAAGCAAGACTACAACTTAGTTGCCAAGTGTCTGGCAATAGTATAAATGAAAGTTAAGCTAATTCAGTTGATTTGCACTAACTCTTCTAAGACTGATTGAAACCTTTAGGGAAATCAGAATTTCCACTCAATCATAAGAATATGTAGATAGTCACTGTAAAAACGAGGAAAATTCTTGAACTATTTCTTTTATCCATTTTCAAGGGGTGATTTGTAAAGAGTAGAAGCTTGTAGGGATTAATAGATTCTTAGAATTAGGCAGATGAACAAGTACTTACCAGAAACCTATTCCTGAAATAAAGGGAGTTGCGAAGAAGATGTGCTGCTTTACAACTTGTTTGTCCTCAGGGATCTGTCTGGGCCAAATTTACTACCGTTTACCGTCACAAATTCAATTTCAAAACGGTAGTTTCACAAAATACTTTTGCTTAAAATTTTATCTTTGTATCCCGTAAGAAATGATAAATCCATATTTTTATCATATTTTTGTGTTGATTTTTTTTAAATATAATTTTAAATTTTTACAAATTATGTCTAAATTTTCACAAAATAGGTACCTCTCAGAAAAACCTAGACAGACCCCTGGTCCTAACGTGTGTAACTAAATCATCTAAGCAATAGAATAGTTATTCTTATATTTCAAAAATNAATTTTAAATTTTCACAAATTATGTCTAAATTTTCACAAAATAGGTACCTCTCAGAAAAACCTAGACAGACCCCTGGTCCTAGCATGTGTAACTAAATCATCTAAGCAATAGAATAGTTATTCTTATATTTCAAAAATAGTTTCATGTAGTATTATACAAAAAAAAAGAATGAAGGNAAAAAAAAAAAAAAACAATGAAGGGTAGTGATTTGCTGAGCAATTATATGTACTTGTATACACACTAACTTGCTTAAAAATTTGTTTCTTATTCGATTTTGAAACATCTAAAAATAATATAATAGTAAGTAACATTTTCAAAGTGTTCAAGAGAGCTTTTTTTACTGAATGAAGAAACTCCATAATTCCCATGTCCATGATAAAAGGCTTTTGTATGTTGTGTTCTTATCTACTGGAAATTCCAGAATTTTGTAGAGTACTTCTCTAGAATCAAAGGAACAGTTGATGTATATATATTTCTGTTTGAACATTAGTGCTAGAAGTAGTGCGAGATAAAAAAAAAAATTTTGATTTTCATGGCTGAGTAATTATTTCACAGTTACCATGTTGGCAATAAAATACTTTCGTATGTTGCATTCTTATCTTCTGGAAATTCCTGAAATTTGTTGAGTACTTCGCTGGAATTAATACTAAGGAACAGTTGATGGATATATGTTACCATTGAAAAATTGAGTTTGATCATTATTTGATCTCAGGTGCTTGAAGTAGTGTGGGACAAAAAGAGTGTGATTTTCATGGATGAGTTCTTATTATTATACCCTATGTTTTCTATTTGATCTTTATAAAAAATTAAATGTGCACATGCTTTGAGTAAAAAAGGGAATTGTTTTCAGGTTTGGGATTATGAAACTGGTGAATATGAGAAAACTCTTAAGGGCCATACTGATTCAGTTCAGGATCTTTGTTTTGATCATACTGGCAAATGGTTAGGTAAGTTAAATGTTTTTTATTTGCTTTATCTTCAACAAAAGTTTCAATCAAAATTATAGTTTGCTAAATTACAAATTGATTTATAGTTTCTTGTTCTGCTGATATGACGGTAAAGCTATGGGACTTCACTCTCTTCGAATGTGTGAGAACTATGAGAGGTAAATATATTAATCATTTCATTTTGAGTATTAGCAGTAAAAGCATGATATAATAAGTAGAGCTTAGTATAAAGAATCTACTTTTATGATAAGTTTGTAAATCACCATCTAAATATTAATATTAGGAAACAAATATTATATGCTTAGAACGAGTTAAAAATGTCTAGCCTTCTATTGTATTTTGTTAATTGAAATACATTCTTAAGCTATCAGCATTATTCCGAAATGAGCTATGTTATATGAAAAGGAACAAAATGAAAGACAGTTTCATTTCTAGCATCAATAGATAAAAATAAAATCAAATCCCATATATTTATTAACCCATATAATGTAACCCATAATAACCGTCCCATCTGTATCTCATATTTATTAACCAAACATATTTGAACGACAACCTGCCAAGCTATCGCCCTTTTTACAAAAGAAAATTTTTTCTACTATTTTCAGAAATCCTGCGACATATTGCAAGAGGATGTACTCTTTTTTTATAATCTTATAAGAAATATATCGAAATATCCATGTCCCCTTATTTTTCCTTTTTTGCAATTTTTGAAATTAATATTCTGTGTAGGCAATGTCAAAAATTATTGCACTTCATTTAAATTTTTTCCCTCTATCTGCTAGTCCAGTCTACTATCTGCAGGCAAAAGCAGTGTGGTCTGAATTTGAATTTTACATTTCAATGGTGGTTCAAAATAAAAGTCTATTTTCTATTTATATAAATTTTTTCCTATTTTGAATTAAATATGTTTAATTGTTTGTAATGATAAGTCTCTTTAATGGCAATTCATTTTGTTGATCATGACAGACTTTTGCTGTATCTTGTAGTTTATAAATTTGTTTGCCTTTAATCATTATTAATAAGTGTTTTCTTACGCATTGTAGGTCATGATCATAATGTGTCGTCAATAGCCTTTTTGCCTAGTGGAGATCACATCGTGTCGTCTTCCAGGGATAAAACTATAAAAATGTGGGAAGTGTCAACTGGGTGAGTTTTCATTCTGCAAAGCATGCAACACACTAATTTATGTAACCTTTTTAGCTATATATTGCACTAATTTCTTCTCTTTTTGGCTTCGCAATTTATTGGAAATTCACTTTTCAATCATTCATACAATTTAGTATCACAGTAACCATCAATTTTCAAAATTTATCGACTATTTGCAAAATTATTTATAAAAAGTTGACCTGTTTGTATTTTATATATTGTGTTCTGAACGAAATTTTTTTTTTACATAGGCTCTAAATTCTCTTAATTTGCAATCAAAGTTTAATAAATATAAAGCTCATTGTGTGAAAAAATATGAAAAAGAAAAAATTATTTAAAGTGAGACGAAATAAGTTGTATACGGGACAAAATATTTTAAATGCGCTATACTATTAGTATTTAAGAAAAAGTATTTAAAAATTTTTTTAACTTTCTAACAACACTTGTACAACATATTGGTCTGACAAAATTTTGTATATTAGTAGCACCAGATTGCATGTAATAGCAAATTCAAAGTAACTTCATATGCATAAACAATTTAGAAGAATGTAAACTGTTATTAAATAAATATATATACAGTACTATTGTATGCCAATCAAAATATACTAATCACATGGGATTGTTTGATCAATATGTATTTAAATGAATGATTAGTGAATGTATATGGATCATTTGATTTATTTTGTTTCTTAAATCTTTAAATAATGTACACATATTATGAAGAAATATTTTGGAAAAATTTGTTATTTGCTTTCTATGCTCAATCATGATTTGATTGATATAAAATTGTTCACCAAAAAAAAAAAAAAAAAGGAGTTGTTTTAGATTTTTTTATTTATTATTCTTACACAAGTGGTAATAAAATAATTTCTGTGTTATATGTTGTGATGGTCAAAAACTGAAGGGAAAAAATTGAAAAAGAACTTAAGCATTTTTTTTCACCCTCTACATTTTCTGAATGTGTGTTAAGTATCAATTTTATTCAAACTGAGTTTTCTTTAATATATGGAATTTTCTACAACATTGGGTACGAGATTATATTGAGTTAGAAAATTTTGTTAACTTGATCTGTGATGTCTAGTTATATTGAATCAGATAGAAACATTTGTTTCGATTTACCTAAATTGTAACTCATGAAGAATTTTAAAAAATAAAAATGTTTGATAAAAATTTAATTAAAAGTTTCTATGCATACCAAAAAGGATGGTGAACTTGCTATAGATTCTTTCATTGTAACTAAATTTTTTTGTTAATCTATTAAAAATTTTATGATAGTCACATTTAAAATGAAAAATTTAAATTTAGTTATACATTTATTTTTAAATGTTTGATGATTGGTTTAATTTTAGAAATTTTCAGCAAAGTAGGTGTTTTGTTTTTAAAGCTATTTTTTCCAAACCAAATTTATAAAAACATTATGTAAATACTAATATATTTTTATAAATATTTTTAAGTTTAATTTAAAAAAATTTTTGCTTTGTCTTTATTTAATTAGATCAGTCATATAAACAATTCACATCTTCAAAATATTTTTTAAAAAATATCTAAACATCTTTTAAATATAAACATATTTCTGTTTGAGATATTCTTTTTTCTAAGAATTAAATTGATTCTACATCAAAGTGCAGGTTCATGAATTAAATTGAAATTAATTTTATCATCTGCCAGCAGAATTGTTTTGCATGCTACTTCCGATGTATATATTGCTTATATTTCACATCTCAGTTGCACCTATTCTTTATTGAATAATATGTTAAATATCTAATATATAATTTTGAAAAGCAGCTAAGTTAAAATTCAGCTTAAAATTATGCATGGTTGTTTGAAACTAAATTTATTATTTTTTTAATGTTTTATATTATTTATTTATACTTTCATCAGTTTCTTCAAGAATGTCTTGATATTTTTGAGATGTAGATGTAAACTTAATACTGGCAAAACCCTCTGACTGCATTTTGCTCAAAATAAGATGAATTCAAATTTTATGTCATATTTTATGTATTAGGTGGACCAGAAAGTAATGTCGGTTCGGTGCATTTGATATTTGTGATCAAGTTTTTATTTTTAATCAATAATATATTCATTCTCGTTAGCAACAACCTTTCAATGCCGGATCTAAAATGAATTAAAATGGATCGAAAAAATGAATTGGTTTTTAAAACTAACGAATATTTAAAGCGCCGAAACAACATTAATTTCCTGCCCCCTAATAATTTATTAGTCTTTTGACCTAAACAACTGTAGGAGTTCTATTTAAACTTTTAGCCATTAAATTAAATATTCTAGTCAAACAATCCTATTCTAATCTACCTTATAAGATGATGTTGAACATCACTAGTCAGTAATTATTATTTTTTATTTATTATTATTTATTTTTTAAAAATAGGAAGTCATCTTTTACTCTGTTCAGCTTAGATCTAATAGTGGATGTAAACATAGTAGATTGCATTTTTTACTTACCATTGGTCAGATTAGTGTTGCTTGTCATAACTTTGGTGTCTATCAGCCAATTGTAATGTTAAATACTTTGTTTACCTTCACTATCAGTTCTCGCTGAAAGAAATTTAGTATATGTTTTTATTATTATTAGTAGTAGTAGTATTTATTTTAAAGGCTTGACATAGGGCCGGAAAATTTTTTACTAGGTTTCTTTTATTTATTTATTTTTATTCTATTTTTTTTTTCAAATTTAATCATTTTTAATAATTGACATCCTATTTTCTTTTTATTAAGTAAAAAGAATATTATTGTACCATTGATTATAATAGACATGAAATTTGTTGTGTAATGAAATTATTTTGTAAGATATTTATCATTATAAAATAAGTCCTGAGTGTTTTCATTATTGTTTATTTACTTACGAATATTTTGGCAGATACTGTGTGAAAACATTTACTGGTCATAGAGAGTGGGTAAGAATGGTTCGTGTTAATCAAGATGGATCCCTTTTAGCTAGTTGTTCTAATGACCAGGTAATATTCTCTGATATAAGTCAAGGTTCAGATTAATGAAATAGTAAATTTGATTGTTAATAATATAATACTTTGACTTGAATACAATTAAGTTTCTTTAAAAAATACATAATCCCATTATTCTTTTTATATTGTAGATTTTACTGAGCATGAATATTTCATATTGAGCATAAATGCTTAAAATATAAAAACTTCATTCAGTAATGAATCATTTTTGCTTCATTTAAATTTATTTATTATTTTTTTTGAATAAGTATAATGAGATCTAAAATAAATTTTTAATAGGAACTTTAAAAATTATACAAAATATTCAGTAATAAGTCGATTTAAAGTTTCACAAAGACTACAAAAGATGGTACATATGCATATTATTTTATGCCTAATGTGTTATAAGCTGTTCAAAATATTAAAATAATTTACATTGTATTTCTCATTGAAATTATGAAATGACATAGAAATGATTTATTATGAGTGCAGCAAATTATTTATTTATGAAAGTTCTTCTCATTTAATTGAAATTTTAAAATTTCAATATTTGGTAAAAGTTAGAAAAAAATTTATTTATTTATTATTACTGTGAGGTACTGATTTACCCAGTAAGATTTTGTTAAATATACAAATAGTTAATTCAACCTGTATTAGTTCCTTATTAGATTAAAATTCTAGAATACAGTATTGAATAAAAATGAATTCACTGTACCTGTAAGAGAGCATAATGTTTACTCATTTGATACATATTTATTGATGTCAAACTAATTATTTTCAGACTGTGCGAGTCTGGGTCGTAGGCACGAAAGAATGCAAATTAGAACTGAGAGAACATGACCACGTAGTAGAATGTGTAGCCTGGGCTCCTGAATCATCTGCAGCTGCAATTAATGATGCCGCGGGTGTTGATGTAAGTTGAATGAGGAAAATTGCATTGTTGTATCACAATTTATCAATTACAATTATATATTATTAATTTTAATCAAATATTTTCAGAACAAACACGGTGTCAGGACTGGACCATTCCTGGTTTCAGGTTCTCGTGATAAAACCATCAAAATATGGGACATAAGTATTGGAATTTGCTTGTTTACACTTGTAAGTCAATAAAACTGTCTCTTTTAAAAAATAAATAAATAAAAATTAATCAAATATTTTTATTGAACACTCTTTTATTTTATTTTTTAGCCTGGACATGACAATTGGGTTAGAGGTGTGAAGTTTCATCCAGGAGGCAAATATCTTGTTAGCGCATCAGATGATAAAACTCTACGTGTGTGGGATGTAAAAAATAAGCGTTGTAGCAAAACTATTGAAGCACATACCCATTTCTGCACCTCAGTAGGTTAGTATAACTTTTAATTATTTTTCATGTATTCTAATTTTTCAATTAGACGTTAATTGTTATATTTTTTATTTAAAAGAGATATTTAAAGATTATTTAAAATTTCTGTTCCTTTTGCTGCTTAGCTTTTATTCCTAAAAAACCTGCTTAGTACTAAAAAATGTTATTGTGTTGAACATTATCTTTTAAAAAGTAGAATTAAAAAATTTACTTAGTTGTTTAACTAGAGTAATAAGTATATTTTGGAGAAAAATATATACTAAATTTATTAAATTATTTATTTTTTTGTTAAATTGTTTAAAAATAATAAATTAAGGCTAATTTTAATAATTCACAAGTGCCAATTGCAATTTAAAATTTATGAAGCATCTTCTTTGAGTAGAAAAATCTTAAATCTCTTAACTTCCTGGTCATTTTCACCCATTGCAGTTGAGTAATATACCATTTCTGTACTGGTTGAACAAAAGGGTTTATTCAGCATCAGGGTGGCTACTTCTTTTAAAAAAAAAATTGTTTTAGGCCTAGTGAAATTAACTTTTCTAATTAAAAATGTAGCATTTTGAAGAATAGTAAGTTTTTTTTTAAAAAAAAAAAGAAAGAAAGAGTGGAGTAATCCAAAGATTCTGGAAGAGTGAAGTTCTTCTGGTGAAGAAACATTTCTAATAATTTTCGGTCAAACTGAACTTATATTAAATATTCAGAAATTTTAAATTACTAATGGATCCCCTAAGAAGATATCTCAAATTTAGATATCCTTTTTAAAAAAATTCCTTTCTAGACAGTGTGATTTGTCTGTTTTAGTTTTGCACTAAAATATTGTAAAATCTTATTTGCACAATTTTTTCCTTTATTGATGAAATATTCTTATTATTTATTAGCTTCGTTTTACTTTTGTACTAAAATATTAAATACATAGTTACTGTGTACAAATATTGAAACTAAAAGAAATAACACTTGTCGACACAAATATAAAAAAGAAAAAGGATGAACTGGCAAATATTTTAATTTATTTTTAACAGATTATCTATTACAGATTTAACTGCCCAAAAATTTCATTGCTATATACATACCAAATGCATTAATAAACTGTGTTAAATTTATATCAGTATGGCAGCTGGTCCAAGGGACCACTAAGGATTATTTTTGTTGTGGTCCTGGTCTTGATCTTCGAAATATTGTTCCTCGTTTAATGTTTCAAACTAGCACATTCTTTTTGATTATAGGCTTTGCTTTTGTCTTTTTACCAAAAGTTGAAAACTTCCTGAGTTTTTGTTTAATAGGGGGAGAATGGTAACAAGTAGTAAGAAATCATTTGATTATTCAGGGTTTAATGCATTTGATTTTAAAATTGTGTGGTTGTGATTGTGTGACTGTGTATAAGCGTTATATGCTAGTTGTGTATATGCTAAAAGAAAAATAGAAAATATTTCTGCTTAATTTACCAACACATTTTTCATAGGCTTATACACAGTGCTATTAATTCCTTAAAGAAATGTAATATATAAAGTTATGTTTTGCTACAAGAGTAGGAAAAATTCCTATTCTTAGAGCTGATTTCAAAGAAAAAGGCTGTCATTGTTCTTAGCATATGTGTGTAATTAGAAGATTAAAACTAGCCAATGAAAATAAAAATTAATTCTAGATAATTTTATTAAATAAGTCACACATTAATAAAATGGAACTAGACTTTTTTGAATGATTTGTAATGCGAAATTTGCTATGGTTTTTTAATACCAGAGTTGAACGCAGTTAGTTTTCAATTCATCTATTTTGTGTCATTAAATGTGTGCAGGCGTGATATTTATTTTACCAAGTAAAGCTGTAGCTGTGTTGGTGTATTCATAAATTTTTTTTTCCTTTCATTTTTAGATTTTCATCATTGTGCTCCTTTTGTGATTACTGGAAGTGTGGATCAGACTGTAAAGGTATGGGAGTGTCGCTAATGATGCAACTTACGATACTCTATAATAGCCAAAAATATATGAAAAAAGAAGTCATACATTCTAACAGCTTTAGCTGTTCACCAACTGAAGAATAAATCAAATACAGCTAAAACAATAGTGAAATTTAATTTGTATTGCAAGAATGCATGTTATATCTTTCTATAATATTAAGTGCAAAAAATTAAGCTTGCTGTTTCAATGTTTGAATTTCCCACATGCAAATCTTGATTTTTCACTTAAATTATTGTATTTTACAGATATTTGTACCAATTATTTTACCAGTAGTGTGATTTTATTTGAAAATATTAATTCAAAAATTTTAACAATTGAAAGGCTTGCGGCTTATCAATAAATAAAAAAATTAACTTATATATTGGACTTAGAGGAGGTATTGTACAGAATGCTTCCACCACAGTTATCTTGTATAAGCTTGTAAAAAAAATTTATGGATTTATTTAATATTTATTATGGGGAATTTTATTTTATTATCAATATTAATTGATGTAAAAAAAATTTAAAGAAAATTCTAATTGATTGAAAAATAGAACTTCCTGTCTACTAAAGTTTGCCTTGCCATTTTTAGCTGGAAATTTGTGCTGCTTTATCATTGTTTTCAAATTTATCTTTCCTTTTTCTTATCTTTATTTCTGTAAAAAATAAAAAAAAATGAAATCTTTTATTGTGTAATTGTTATGTGGCTTAATTTAATGAGATCTGTTTCTAATCTTGTATAAATAAAATATTTATAAGTGTGTGTATATAATTTCATTTTCAATGATGAATTAAAAATGCTTCTGTAAGTGGTTTAAAAAAAAACTGTGATATGGGCTTATTTTTACATTATGTTTACTTTGTGTACTATAAAATGTAGTGCTGATGTTGTATTGATTCTTTTTTTCCCCTTAAATTGCTGTTTTAAAATTAAATATCAAATAATTAAAATTTTAATAGTGAGGAAATTTGAGTTAAAAATTTGATCTTGATAATAAAACATACTTTTATTATATGACTAAATATTTGTCTACGCAGATTTTCTTGCAAGTTGTAGTTTCAAGTGTAAAGGTAAAAAAAATTAATAAATAAATAAAATGTAATATTTTTAATTATTATAAATAAACATGGGATTAGATTTTATTTCAAACACTTGTTAACTATCAATTGTTGTACTGGAACTTTCCCAAATATTGCTTTATCACTGAAATTTTAGTATATAACTCATAACTGATATATCATTTATTGTTACAGTACTAACTTTTTGGCTATATTTTTATTTTTGATATTAAACATTTTTATCATATTTCTGTAATTGTTTGGAGCAACAAAATAAATGATTTTCTTTAAAAAAAGGAAGAAAAAAAAGTTATCTGCATGCAATGCTTAGGATTTTAGGTATAATAATATTGCAGGTACTCCTAATTTTTTAAAACATACATGTTTGTACGTGCGAATTTTTTACTTCAAATTTTGACTTTTCTTTTCCATAACAAATTAAAATTTAACGTTAAATTCAACTGTCTGAGTTACAAAATTTAAATACTATTTGTTTTTTATACGATAATTAAAAAAAAAAATTTGTATGATTTTGGCCAGAAAAAAAAAAGAGTTGAAATGTCAGCTGCACTTTGTAGTTACCAACCATTAGCTCCCAAAATCTTATCAAATAAATCAATATTGTACTGCTGAAAGTTGATTGTTAAAAGTATTGTGAAAACAAAGCTATGTCGTTTAGGAATCTATATAAATTATTTTGTGCAAAGTATTAGCTTTGTAGAAAATAGCTGTAGACAAAAATGATTCATTTGTACATATTTTGCTCGACCATGTTTCAGGCCTTGGAGCTTTCTCTTTTCTTTGAAAAAGCTGGGTTTATACAAGTTCTAGGTAGATAAAATCTATTTGAAAAATAAAATCCTCAAATCTGCCAATGGAACTACAGTTGTGCATGTTTTATTAGCAGTGTTAAAAGCTTGTACGTTCAACCTCCAAATGATTGTTAATTAATAAAACTACAAGTACTGCTGTGAAATATTGCAAAATTGTACATAATTATGGCTGATAGGCCAACTCGCACTTTTAAAAATAACACCTTGCATTGTGCAACATTTTGTGTTTATATTGGCTTAATAAATTGTATTGTCATGATTTAGTTTCTATTTTATTTGACTGCCTCTTCTTAAGTTATCTGCTGGGTGTCACAGAATGGATAATTTTTCATACAATGTCATTACGATAAGCGTGCATTTAGGAGGCTTTTTTCGATTCGCTCAGTTCGCAACGATTCTGTCGTAAATCTACTTCAATCATTTATCGTTTTTTTGGCAGACATTTGTCTCGTTTTCAGCTATTTCTGTTTGATTTTTTTCAATTCCAATATTTTTAATATGATATCGATAAATTCTGAAAAACAATTTGTGTTTTGACAAATGATTGTTTCTACCAATAAGAAAAATATATATACCCCTTGATCTTGAAAATTACATCAATACGAATTTTTCTGGACAAATCTTGTATTTTTTATTCAAATACCGAATTTCGTTATTAAGTGATCAGGGCCTGCGCTAAGCATTCGCCGCCTCGTCAAATGCGATGAAATTGTCAATTCGGTGAAACAAATTGCTTTCTGGCGAATGATTGTTTCTATTGAAAAGAAAAATATATAATTCTCATTGTTCTTGAAAATTACATCTATGTGAATTTTTTTAAACAAATCTTGTATTTTTGTTATTCGATTACAGTAATTTCCCTTAGATATTTCTCAAAACTATTTAGAGTTATATTAAGCCTAGATAATGTAAGTAACAAGAGAGATTATGTAAGCATGAAAAAGTTAAATACAAATGAAAATGTTCGTTGCCGGCGCGATATCGCGTGACGAATTTCTTTCCTACAGTTAGTGTCAATAAAGCAGATTAAGTGGTAGCTAGATGTATAAATCATCCTCCAACTATCTGTCCAGGAAATAAGTATTCTCGTGACAATAGTATAATCTTTATTACTACAAACTTATTGTAAAATTTAAGACGGTTGCTAAATTAAGAAAATTTTACCTTTTTAGATTACCATATAGAATAACCACCTGCACATGGCTGAACAATGAACGCATTAAACCCAAATTCCGTTGAAAAACATGTAAAACAGAATTAAATTATTCAAATAATATATCCACAATTTTTTTTTTTCCGGAATGATTACAATCGCGTCAGTGAAAAATGAACGAGACAGTAAAAATTCTATTTTTAAAATATATGGGACTTAGAGTATGAAAGTTTTATTTAAATGTAATAAAACATAGTTGAAATATATAAAAACATCAAATGTTGCTTCAGATTTATCCTACATTTATTACAGCTCTAGCCTGAGAAGTTATCAAAAATTAACCCCAACCTGTTTTTTTCCTCAAAGATGATAAAACGTCTACATTTTTTATCTTCCATTCATTGCTCATTTATTCCTTCCTTACTTTAAAATGACTCTTGATTTGAATTTGCATTTTTAAAATAGCTCAATTTACAGTAAATTTATATTTTGACTTAGTTTTCTATGAGAAAAAATTAATAATAAAAATTAGTTAAGATTTGCCTAAGACTTTTAAATTTGGTTAGCACTTTTTATATCTGGCTAGCCCTTAGTAATAATTTTTTTAAACGCTCGATTCACGACGATTCCATTTCCACATTAAATTCCGATCGCTTTTTCGGCAGTTACTTATTGTTATTTCGGCCAAACCATCGTTTTTAAAATCCTGATATATTCTTAATAAATTATTTTACTACTAGCAAATTTTTAAAATATAAGAACTACGCTAATTTTAGTACCGGTTTATAAAATGCACTACTTCAACTACGGAATTATTTTAAGTTAAACTATCTTTTTGAAAATAAGATTTTAAAGTGATGCAATTTTTTTGCTAAATGCAATGCTCTTTTTTGTGATGGATGTGTTCTTTTTTTATTTTTTAAGGGATTATAGTAGTTTTTTTCCCCTCCAGTTTCGAGCACCCTTTTTAAGCTCTAGCTGTCTTACTTTCAAACACACAGTTTTCATTTTCTGTCCATTAATATTATTATTTCAGGGTCAGGGTGTTCAGCTGTAGGGAAAACCTGGAATTATCAGGGAATTTATTGATTCTGGAAATTTCAAAAAAACAGGGTGAAGTTTAAAAACAACAAGTGATAGATGTTTCAATTCATGAGCAGCGCTTCACTAAGAATGGCACAAAAAAGTTTTCTTCCAAGTGGTCCTGAAGTTTTGGATTGCTTTTTCAGCAGTAATTCATTTTTTTTTCTCCTGTCTTTTTCCCTATGAGTTTCTCAAATATAATTTCAAATTTGAGCTATCACTTTTCTTTGTGACGATTTTATCGAAATTTCTCATCTTCTGATGATATTTTTTTTAAAAATCATTTATACTTTTCAGCCTCTTTCAATTGGTTTTTCAAATTCTCATATTGTGGGAATTTGGAGCTGGAGTACTTCGATTCAAGCGGTTCCATTTTAATTTTACTTCGTTGTGTTAAAGATTTACAGCAATTATTTTATACTTATCATCTTATCGCATAGTTTTTCAAATTATGATATTTTAAGTACTATTTTATTACAACTTGCGAATTTCAAATTTGATATCACTTTTTGATGACTTTACTTGGCAAGTTTGATTAGTGACGATTCCATCGTAATTTCATGTCATTTGATGATTTGAAGCCCTTGGGAGTTTTCACGAGCTACTTACCATTTTTTTTGTTAAGCAAATGCAACGAGATTGCATGTTCGCAAAGTTTCCTTTAAATGATTAGTGTCAACAAGAACTTAACAAATATGTAAAGCTGTAGATGGAAGGCTGCAATCTTAAAATAATTAAGCTAATCAGTGACTTTAGCAAAAATCGCTTATTTCAATTGTTTGTGGTCACAAAACTATTTTTATTTTCATACAACATTGTTGTGTTGTTTTATATTTTCCTTTAATAATTACATGTTTTAAACTTTATTTTAGAAAAATAATCTTCAATTGTCTGCTTTCATAATTTTTTAGAATGTTTTTCTTGAATCATGCAGTTCAATAGATTCTTTTTATAGTTAGGACTACTCTTCAGAAACTTAATTTCAAAATATTTTGTTTGGGGCCCCGAAAATTTTGTGGTCCTTGGGCCTGGATTTGTCTTGATAGGTCCTTGCTTTTTTCAGTTGTTATTAATCAATTTTCAAGTCTTTCCTCGTGGTTTTTTTTAATGTTATCTCGATAAGAGTCGATGTTATCTCTATAAGAGTGCCTTTTGAATTTAAGGAGTCACTTTTTGAAGTTCACAACTATCTTATCGTAAATCTAAGTCATTTAAAGATTGTTTTTCCAGCAGAAATTTGTCTTTTCTTTCAGTTATTTCAGTGTGATTTTTTTTCTATTCCGATATTTTTAATACGATATAATGGTTAGTGAATTTTGTATTTTAGTAATCACTTTCTTACACGTTTGGTTAGCGAAGATTCAATATCACATCCACATTAAATTTCAATGGCTCTTTCGGCAGTTGATACAGTTACTTATTGTTTTTTTAGCCATTTTAACATTGTTAAAATCCGAATATTTTTAATATGTTATTACGACAAGCAACATTTCCAAAATACGAGAATTGCGCTAACTTATCAGCAGAATTATTTTTATGAACTTAACCCTTTGAAAATACGATTCTTTTTTAATAATAAAATTATGGACTTCGTATCTTTTGGATTTCTTAAAAGCGATGCAAACTTTTGTGAAATGCAACTCCTTTTCATGATGCATGTTCTTTAGGGGGATATAATGTCCTTTTTACTTTCAAATACCTAGTGTTTATTTTCTAACATTAAATTGTTCGTCAATATTATTTTTTTAAACTTTACTCCGATTGATTATATATTTTAAATGATAAAATATTTTTGTTTTAAATAAAGTTCAATATTAAATATTATCTGCGCAATAGAGGAAAAATCTTGTATTTACAGGGAATTTGTAAATGTCTTCTAGTGAAATATTTGTTATGAATTGTGTTAAAAATTATGGTAGGAAAAGACACGAGTTTATAATAAACATTCTTTATAAATTCAATAATTGGACAAGCATCAAAGTTTTTGTATCCATGTTTGTTAGAAAATTTTTAAGGCTGGTTTTATTATTATTTATTTTTTTAACTTTCCACACATAAAGCAGATAACTCATTATCGAATTTTATTTTAAAAGTGATCTGAGAGCATATCTAATTAATGACACCGTTATAGGTGATCGAAATGGGCTACTGGTGGCGTAAAGCAGAACTCTCTACCTATGGCAACACTTCGCATGCTTTCACGCGTGTGGAGAGTCATAGGAGAAGGAGGTGTGTTAGCTTCTGTCTTGATTTTTAAATAGATTAAAAACTTTAAAGTTACGAATCGTTATTGAACTGAAGACCAGATATTGAACATAGTTATAAAAGAAAACGTCCTGGAAATTTAAAAAAAAATATTTTTGACCAGTAAATATGAAAAATATTAAGAAAGGGAAAAATATAGAAGTACATTCCTATACAGCTGTGGAGAGGGAAGGGAGGAGAAGACATGGAACCGGACATTTATAGATATTAAAGCTTTTATTTCAAAAACATTAAATTTATAATAATAAATCTTTCCATAGCTTAGGTTCAGAATTGTACGTTTTACTTCTTCTATTTATTGAAGAAAACACATAGTTTGAACATAAAATTAAATAAAGTGAATACAAAAATATGCATTGGCATTAAAAATTGAGGGGCTGTGGTAGTCCAATAGTTAGAAAATCACGCTCCGGTGCGGGGTTCGATCTTCGACTCCGCTAAGATCCACAGCGTACATGAGATATACCTGCAAGTAAAATCTGTAGAATCGAAAGTCCTGTGGTCATTCGCTGAGTAGTACAGAGGGCACAGGTATTTGGAGAAAATTTTCTTCCTCATCAGATCTATGTCTAACATGAGGAAGTGACCTGCCTAATTTTTATGGCTTGTCTTTGGATCATCCTCAGGGATGCTTCCCAGACCATTGCAAATAGCCCGTTGTGGTGCTCTAATGTTATTTAAATAAAGTACCTACCTATCTCATTAATTGAGATCTGGTTGAATAAATAAATTTTTCATAAGTCATATGGCTAGAGAAGCAATTCACAGAAGCTTTTAAGCTAACCATAAATGATAAAGTACGAAATCTAACTTACTATCTCAAAATTAACATGCTACGTTTTATCGCAGCTATTTTTATTATCTGATTTGATATTGATTGAAGACATTTCTGAAAGTACTAAAAGTTTTTTAAAGAATTCAGTTGAGTAATTCTAGAGAAATAACAATTAGAATTATGATTAAAAAAGTGTGAGCAATCTGCGTTAACAAATACATTTCTGTTTAGAATTGGCATTCGAAAGGGGCTAAAGGTGGAGCAGAACAGAACTCTATATATGGCAACACTTAGTTTGTTTTCACAGGAGCGTGTGGATAGTCATAGAAGAAGGAAGAATTCTAGAAAATATTTTTGGCACTTAAATACGAAAAATGTTATGTAGGGAAAGAATACCGTAACACATTCCCGTACAACTGAGAAGAGGAGATTGGTCAAGATATGAAACCGGTCACTTGTATTCGAGTGTTTAGTGTATTTGTTATTTTATTTGCCTGGCACTGACCCATTTTATAGTTTTTTTTAAAGTACCAAAAGAGGGCAGTAGTGAACTGTATGATGGTAGTTTTCAGGCTACCTCAGTATAACAATTCAAGTAGTTGAACATGGTAACGTTAACCGTGATTTGATAGTATTAAAGGTCTAGGTCACATGGGGAGTAGAGAGATAAACAAATACAACACCGTCTACACACGCACAGGAAAAGTTGTTCGCTAAGCCGGCATTACATTTTTCTTGTTGAAATTTCATAGAAAATTAAATTATAACATGACCGATCCAGTAGAAATTTCGGCAAATCTATCTGACTTAATCGGAGCTATAGACCAAGGTACTAGCAGTTCAAGATTTCTCGTTTTCGCTAGTGAAACAGCCGAAATCGTTACATATCATCAAATCGAAACTAAGCAGTTATATCCTCAGGTTGGCTGGGTTGAACAGGATCCTCTTGAAATTTTATCCTCTGTTCAAACATGTATAGAGAAAACGGTTGAAAAGCTTAGAAACTTTGAAATTAATCCTCTTAACATCAAAGCTATAGGTGTAACTAACCAGAGGGAAACTACTGTCGTATGGAATAAGTTCACCGGTAAACCGCTATACAATGCTATAATATGGCTTGATACTAGAACTGTGGACACTGTTGATCAATTAAAAAATAAAAGAGGTTCAAAAGCAGTGGTAGAAAAGTGTGGTTTGCCAATCACAACATACTTCAGTGCTGTCAAATTGCGATGGTTAATTGAAAATGTCCCACAAGTTAAAGAGGCAATTGAAAATGATTCTTGCCTGTTTGGAACAATTGATTCCTGGTTAATATGGAACTTAACCGGAGGAGTTAATAGCGGTATTCATGTAACAGACGTAACAAATGCCAGTAGGACGATGCTCATGAACATAAGAACTTTGGAGTGGGATCCATGGTTGTGCAATTTTTTTCAAGTACCCATTTCTATATTGCCGAGTATTAGGAGTAGCTCTGAAATTTTAGGTTGCCTTTTGGGTAGTTCATTAAATGGAATGCCTATCTCTGGTTGTTTAGGTGATCAAAGTGCTGCTCTAGTAGGCCAACTATGTTTTAAACCTGGTACAGCTAAAAATACATATGGTACTGGATGTTTCTTATTATGTAACACTGGAAAAGTTCCTATATGGTCCAAGCATGGACTACTAACTACTGTAGCATATAAACTGGGTCCTGATAAGCCAGTTACTTATGCCTTAGAAGGTTCTGTTGCTATAGCAGGTGCTTTAATTCGATGGCTGCGAGATAATCTAGGTATAATACAAGATTCAGCATATATTGAAAAACTTGCTAGTTCTGTTGAAAGCACACATGGTGTATATTTTGTTCCTGCTTTTTCTGGTCTTTATGCTCCTTATTGGCAACCCAGTGCTAGAGGTATTATTTGCGGGTTAACGACATTCACGACACGAGCTCACATAGCACGTGCAGCTTTAGAGGCTGTGGCTTTTCAAACATGTGAAATAGTTGATGCTATGAACTTAGATAGTGGTTTTCCTTTAGAAAACCTAGTAGTAGATGGCGGAATGACTAATAATTCTCTATTAATGCAACTTCAAGCAGATTTTTTGGGTCTTAAAGTCATACTACCTTCTATGCCAGAGACTACAGCTCTTGGTGTAGCTATGGCAGCTGGAGCAGCTAAAGGTATTGAAGTATGGGATATAGATTCTACAGTGTCAAATGGCGTCACAACTGAAACTTTTTATCCGAATATTTCATCGGAAGAAAGGAACTCGAAATATTCTTCGTGGAAAAATGCCGTCAAGCGCTCAATGAGATGGGAAGATGATAAAGTTATTGATAATCCCATATTAAAATCATTGCCGGGGGGATTATTTGTATTTTCGTCCTTTGCGCTTCTCCTTTTTGCTGAAGCCTATAGCAAAAAATTTCTTATTTAGGTAGATATAATTATTCATCATCTTCAAATAATGAAACTTGTGAAATAATGATGAATGCTAGAAATAATTTTGTGAGAAACTGATAAAAATTGGGATTTGTGTTTAAGATTATTTTTTACAATGTGTGATATTTTTTTTTCAGTTTCCACAAATCAATTAATTGACTTAATTAGGATTTTCAAATAATGAATGCAATGGAATGAGATTGAGAAGTTTTCTGTATTTGTACCTGCACCGAAAACAGTCTCCAAGTTTTGGTGACTTCAGTGTAGTTCCTTGCTTGAAAAAATATCATGCAAGGGGACCAATTCAAAGTGTATAACTACTTTGCATCCCTGGGCAAATCACTACACATTTTTTTAACTCTCGTAAGCTCAAAATATCTTTGCTGCCTTAATGAAAACAGGTACTGATACAAAAATATCCTCATGAAGTTGAATAACAGCTCTATGATAATTTTGTGAGAAATTGACAAAAAATTGAGATGTGTGATTAAGGTTGTATTTTATAATATGTGATAGAATTTATTTATTTTTTTTTTACAATTTTCTCGAATCAATTCTTCTAAAATATGCATTTTTAAAAAAGGTAAAACACTTTTGGTAAAAAAAAGAAAAGAAAAATCTCAGTATTCAATAACTTAGCATTTTCTTGCAAATTATTTAAATAATCTGAATCATTCCTGCATAAATGGATTTAAAAGAAATATAATTTGATAATAATATAATTATACAAATGGGTATAGTTATTAGAGCTTTTTGTCCTGTTAATATATAAAATAGATTTATTAAGACATTGACTGAATCAGATTAATTTTTAATGAAAAATAAAAAATAAATTAAAAATGTGTATTTTATTTTCGTCTTGTTTCTTTAAACTTATGCTACAATTGTGTATAAAACTTTTAAAAACCTTGTCTCAACCATAATGAATTTTGTTGTAAAATTTTAATGAAGTCGCTAATTTGTTTCTCTCTCAAAGCTTATTATTTAAAGAACACATGAGTATCTCAAAAAATTATGGGAGCAAACACAGTAAAAAACAAATAAAGAGAGTGCTAACTTGAAGTATATTTTATTCTAAATAATGGTTTGTAAATATAACACAATGAAAACTATTTAATAACTTATGAAAAAATTTAATTAATAATAGTTAAGCTAGGTAGATTTGAAAGGAAGTGCTATTCTATGTGAATAAAAAGCCATGTTGATTTGTTTTCTTTAAATTTATGTGGTGCTTCATAATAAATGATTTGAATACTCGTTAAGAGAATAAGCTAGTTTTATTTTATAGTTTTTTATAATTTAAAATGAGCTACAAGCTTATTTAAGTAGAGTTTCTGCAACAAACTAAGAATATTCTAAAAATTAAAAACATACTTGTAAAACTAAGTAAACAAAAACAGAGTAAGGCTTTAGACATGTGTTGTCAAAAAATTATTAAAACAGTTAAATGTCTAGAGAATGGTACTCGAAAATTCATAATGAATTGGAAGTTTTTCTAACATAAACTATATTATCATAAAGAAATATAATATTAAAATATATTTTGTTGTATAAGTATTAATGCATAATTAGCAATAATTAAATTAAACTAATAATAATAATTTTGAGTCAATGGGGAAAAAGTTTATTTTATATTTACATTTATTTTATTTAAAATTTTCAATGAATTTTTAAGTAGTCTGAATGAAATCTGTAAATATTTGATTTATTAATTTATATTTTTAAATGGAAGTATTATGTCGGAAAAATTAGTTATTTTTTCTGTTAATTTTTAAAGTTGACTGTCTTTAAGTCCAAATTAGAACAATACATTAAATGCAAAATTATCTTCAAGAAAAAAATATATATATATAAATTACGAAATGAATAAAAAAGAGAAAATGATTTTAAGATCTAAATTTCTAGTTGCTTTACTTTTTAAATAGTCTCAATGAAATCTATAAATAATTGAGTTATTAATTTGCATTTTATATTTTTAAATAGAAGTATTATGTTGCAAAAATTAGTTTCTTTTTTTTTGTGTTAATTTTAAAGTTGACTGTCTTGAAGTCCAAATTAAAACAATGCATTAAATGCAAAATTACCTTTAAGAAAAATTTATAGGTATATATAAATTTAAAAAAGAAAAAATTATTTTGAGAAATCTACATTTCTAGTTACTTTACTTTTATTAAAAAAAAAATAATGGCATAGATAACAATTTAATAAAAGTGATGCTACTTATTTTTATTCAAATTTATTTATTTCTGGACACGTTATTGCTAATATTTGAACTATAATTCACTAAAGCAGTGTTTCCCAAAGTGTGGTACGCATAACCCTAGGGGTACTGGAGCAGTTTAGCAGGGGTACGCGTTCTTATGCGAAATATCTTGCAAAAGATTAAAATTTAATATTTTTATTTAAAAACAAAGCTAGCCATGAAAATTTATGATGACATATTATTCTATTGGCTATTTTTTGCAGAGTTAACAGTTAATAATTAGTGGTGTCAACAGCCAGTTGAGATTTTTAACTTTTGTGCAATTTTTTACAGTAAAAATAAATTAATTTTATTATTAGTGGTACACAGCGTTACGAAAAATTTAGAAAGGGTACACAAAAGTCTTAAGTTTGGGAAACACTTCACTAAAGTATTGCAACACCTACAGTTGCACTAAGTTAATTCCATTAGATTTAAAAAATATCTTTACTGCTTTTGGGCTATTATTTAATAAAATTAATTATCAATATGAAAGTACATTTGTTATAAATTTATAAAAGGTTCAAAAGAACGGACATTCAGATGTATAACATAGCTGCAGAGTGTAGTGTCATAGTCTAAGCAGGTTATGAAAGCTATAAAATGGAGCAAAGTATGTTCAATATGTTAAACATTATATATCCATTTTGATGAAGTGAAATCTTTTTTTCTGAATGCGTGCCTCACTGTGCTAACTTCATACCTTGGCTTGTGCAGACAGTAATGCATGCTACATACCAAATAATATACAGATGTTAGTTTGTTTCAAACTTAATCGAAGCATCATGACTCATATTCATTGGGGCACCTTGATGTTCAATTTTTTAAAATTTAATTGGCGACATATTTTTGACTTATTGTAGAGGACAAAAAAGCTTGATCTTGCATCACACTATCAAAAACAGCTTGGACAATCTAAGGTTGATATTGTGAAAAAAAATTCCTAGAGCAACTATCATGAAGCAAATATTTACTTCAATAATAATTTTGATGAACTTGACTTTTTGATTTTTATTTATTAGACTAAGAGAATATTTATATATATTTTACTTTCCTTTATCAAAATGTATAAATAAAAAAATACTGTTGTGAAATTAGCTGAGGAAGTATGAGTATTTTTCTCAAAGGTTTATTATTGACTTGTATTATATAGTATGTAAATGCATTCCAAAACCTAATAATGTTTGTTCATGCTTTAAATAATTTATTTTGAATTGCATATGGATGACTTATGATTAAATTATTTAAATTTTGAAGAGAGAAAACAAAACTTGTCTGATGCATTTTTTCCAACTAAATTCACTTCAAAAGTTCAGATTTTTTTTTTAAGTCTACATGTTTTATACCTTGATGTAACTAATTTGTTGTTGTTTCTCATCCCCACTGGTTTAGCGGAGCTAGACCAGGTCCATGAGTCCATTCACCCTAAGGAAGTCAAAAAACAAGACCGGGTCGAGCAGAAAATCCTCCTTTTTAAAATCCACACAACTAAGGAGGTGGGCTGGGCTGGCTGCACTGGAGAAACATTTGTTGCAGGTGGGATAGATCTTTCGCTGTTGCTCATACCTCATGCACTTTATGTGACCACTGATGAATCTAGTGAACGCGGTTTGATCGAGTCTATTACCTTTGAAGGTCAAAGCACGACCCTGCTTATCCCCAGAGTACCAGATATGTACTGGGGGAGTATTCCAGTCTAGCTGGACACCATGCTTTCTAATGGAGTGAATTTCCGAGGATGTGAGTGCCAAACTTTCCGGCAGAGGTTCATTTGTGCCAAGTTTAGTCAGCGATCTCATTCCCGTACAGAACAACGTGGGACGGAATCCATTGCAAATAAATATCCCGCTTCATGGAAAGTTTACTGAGAAGTTGTAAGATTGCCGTTCCAGCCATATCTCTCACTCTGGGCCATGCACTCAAATATTGGATAGAGCTTCTACTATCCGTTAGGATCCAGATAGGGTCTGGCAGCGAATCCCCTTCAATTGCGTGCAGTCCTGCCTCAATAGCAAGAAGCTCCTATCGGAAAACAGAACAAGAATCCGGGTTTCTCATTTTAATGTTGATATCACCATCAGGTCTCTTGATGTAGACTCCACTTCCAGTACTACTCCGGTCGTCCCCGCTACCGTCTGTATAAACGCAGAGACCCTCCTCTGGGATGTTGTTAATTATTTCTAGAGCCAGTTGTTGTAGCAATTCAGGAACGTCTGAATTTTTATTTGTGCTTAATGCCAAATCCGGACTAAAGTGTACACTTGGAAGCCCACGTGAGGGGTCAACGCAAGTCTTAAGGGAATGTTGTTCGACATCCTGGTAGACTGTATTTAGGGAAATTGCACGTGAAAAAGGGCTATCTCTTCTTAGTCTCTGATTATTGGTCCAATGTAGGAGGTAGTCAGCTGTTCTGTGCTGGGCCCCATAACTAAGTAGTTTACTAAAATATTTCACTAAACAATTCTCTCTTCTCATATTTAATGGCAGAAAGTCTGCTTCAAATAACACAATTTCACCAGTGCAGGAATGTCGCAAACCCGTAAATATGCGTCCCGCACTCTGTTGAACTCGATCAAGTCTTCGAAGATTGGAGGCTGACGCACTCGAATAAATTTGTTGACCATACTCTAATATAGGTCTCACGGGAGCGATGTATGTTGTCCTTAGCGTGGTCGCGTCTGCACCCCAGTCACGGCCAGAGATGTACTTAAGGATGTTCAGTCTCTTTCTGCTCTTGACCACCGGGGCCTCAATATGTTTGTTGCAAGTAAATTATGGGTCTAGTACAAAACCCAAATATCTAGGGTGCTTTTCATAAGTTAAAGGAATACCTCTCAGAGATATCTGGGAATGATAATTATAAATATGTTTATTGGTGGTGAAGAAGCTTGTCACTGATTTGGAAACATTGAATGTTAGTTTATGTTCTGCAGCAAAATCCTGGACTCTTGCAAGTGCTAGGTTGAGATTTGATTCTAGCTTTTTAATGTCCGAGTCTGAATCCTATAGAACGATATCATCATCAAATAAACCAATCTTGCTGGCTCCATTCAGCCTCTCCTCCAGTCCCCCCAGAAACAGTGAGAAAAGTGTGGGACTCAAAACTGAGCCCCGAGTGACTCCTTGGAATAGTTTAAAATTGTTGGAGAGGGTGTTAACATATTTTACTTTGATGAATCTGTTCGGTAGAAAATCTGAGATCCAAGCGAGGGCTCTGCCCCCAATGTTGAAGGTCTCATTAAGCTTAACAATAAGTTTCTTTAGCCAGACTCTGTCAAAGGCCTTTGATAAGTCCAGAAATGCAGCAACGGTATGTTTAGTGGGTTTCATATTTTGGGCATCTTTAATGCTTTGACTGAAATATAGGTTCTGATCAGTGATGCTGTGACCCCTCCTAAAACCATATTGTGCTCGGGGGAGTTGGTCTTTGGAATCTAAGAAAAAATTCAGTCTGCAGAGGATCATTTTCTCCATAAGCTTGCATGAGACACAAGTCAAAGCTATTGGCCTATAGTTCTCGGGGGAGTTTGCAGACTTGCCATTTTTTTGCATAGGAATTATTAAGGCTCTCTTCCAGTCTCCGCATCTCCAAGAGTGGTTAAAAATGTCCAGCAGAAATTGCCTTCCACGTAAACCGAGATGATCAATTATGACACCATGAATGTGCCATCCGGTCCTCGTGATTTGGAAAGGTCCATGGAATAAAGTTGTTCCTTTTAACTGAAGGTCCCATTACGAACTTCCAAAAATGAATCAATGAAATGTATCTCTTACCTTGCTATGTTCTATATGTAGTATAAGCAGTACGACCAACCTTTTTTATATATAGGCCCGGGGTTGGCGTCAATATACCTAATGATAAATATCTAATGACGACAGCCAATTTGAATAACAATAGAACATTTTATTGCTCTAATTAACAAATCATGACGATGAATGAAATATGATGTCTACAAGTTCAGTGATGATGAAAAAGTTCGACTTCCTCGCCTGAATACATACACATATCTGACCTCAGCGTAAAAAGTTACGGTTGCAGTTCGACAGCATAAGGAGTTACGGTTGCAGTTCGTAACAAAAGTGTCAGGGGACAGCTTCTGTTGGTTGAAAACCTGGAGCACCCGAAGGTAGAAGTCTGACTTGGCTCCGTTCACCTACTAGCTTTAGCTGGGCATAGTGGGATGGCCTTCACGCCTAGGGTGGCCTTACCAGGAGTTAAACTCCCGACGTACATCGCCCATCCCGTCCAGTGCCACCCTCCCCCCCGCCACATTGAGGCAGCTAGTAGGACTTGGGAGGGTAATTTAATGTAGTACATAAAAAATTATTTCGAATCTATTTGAAACAAAAATGGAATTTCATGTTTGAAGATGGAATCTTGCAACTGAATTTCCGACTAAATTAGCTAGAGCACTCAAATATCTGCTGGAGTTCGTCAGGACAATAAAAATTTTATTATTTCCTAAGAGCTACAAGCAGAATTTACCGTCCTTTTCAATGACCAATCAAAATTTTGACTATTTTTCTACTATATAGTGTCCTTAAATCTCTACTGAAGCTCTGCGTTCGATTGTGATAAAATTTCCACTCGTTTCCTGATCACTACAAAAAGTTTACCGCGCTATAATCGCCAATGGAAATTTATCATTAATCATATTCTCTACCACTCACCCATTCCAGTCCTGTAAAATTAGACCTTTCTTTTCATAGAAAGCTTTATTTTATTATAACTGATAGCTGAAACTGCATAGCATAGCTTTCCAATCTTTTTTCTAATGTATCCATTTCTTTTTTCTGTACACTTCTCCCTTTTTTGAGGGAAATGGAAGTGATTTGAAGGGGAATTGAATTTCTTCTAGACAGGTTAGTAAAATATTGTTTCTGATGAATTTTTTCAATCTGAATTGAATGATACAAATTCAGAGCCAATCGAACTGTTTGTTCAGAAGTTATAAGTGTTTTATGTACAAATATGTACTTGTACGTATTTACGCTTCTTATTTGGCTATCTAAACAAGTTAGACATTGTTTCCTTTGCGTTTTTTTACTCTGAATCGAATAAGACTATACATAAATCTATAGAACTCATAGTTCAAATGTTGCAAGAGTTTTTATTTATAAAAAGTGCTTCTTTTGACTCATAGCAAGGCTGCTTAAATTTTAATTGGAGTTACTTCCGATGGCGAGTTTTAATCGCTTAATGTCCGCTACGAGCAGAACTTGCATCACTGAATAGAATTTATCATCAATCAAAATTTTGACCATTTTCATACTAGCTAGACTGCTCATATTTCAAGTGAAGCTCTGTTTTTGATATCAATACTAGTGGAAAAACGCAAATTTTCGATGCTTATTTTTTGTTTAATTATTAGAAAAATTGTTTTCATTTAAGGGGGAGGAAATGAATGTGCATGTGTCGAGCCCCGGCTTCAGAATCGCAGCTACATTGTCGTAAAGCGCAGCATCGTTCATGTAGAAAGGTTTTGTTTTTCTTTTCTTCATAAATTTTTGAAGGATTTTCGCTTACCGGACGGGATATAAATGCTCATGATTTTTTTATACGCATTTGAGAATTAAAAAAAATCGATGCAAGTTTAAAAGATAGTTCGCTCTAGTAATCATGCTCTTTTTTTTTTTTTTTTTTTTTTTTTTTTTTTTTTTTTTAAAAAAAAACATTATATTAATAAAATATGACGGTGATTGAGGATTTAGTAGCAAATTCAGATTTGTAGCAAACCAATTAATCAATGTGGTATATTATTTTTTTTAAGAATTTGGTTGAAATAAAATCGATCCAATATTTATTATATATTGCGCACATCAAAATTTTAAATCACGCATTTGAAACTTCTCCGATTTCATCATAAAATATAACATCATAAAAAGCTCCGATTTCATGATAAATATATGTAGTGTTATGATAATTATTTTCGACAGTTATTGCGTGCAATTTTTACTTTTTTTGAATTTTTATGTATTATTTCTACACGTAATATTTGAATCGCCCATATAAATAATAACTTTTTGCCGCGCTCAATTTACGCAGATTATCGTAAATCCACATAACGTTTCGATTGTATTTTCGGCAATTATTGTTATCGATTTTCACATAGTTTTTCAATGTCCCAATATATTTCAGACAATATGAGAAATTCGAATCGCACAATTGAATATTTTCTTTTTAGCTCAATGATTATTGTTTTTTTTAGCAGTTATATCTATTGATTTCAACATAGTTTTTAAAATCCGATATTTTTCAGATGATATTGTTTATTACAACAACCGAATCTCGAAACGAAAAACGTATTTGAGTAACCCCCTCGGCGATCTTTATTTCGGTAGTTACTGCTACGGATTTCACGATTTTTTTTATGTGATAATGATTCACAAAATGCGAAAAAGAAAATAGTTAGTGGGTTTTTCTCCCAACAAAATGCGAGAATATCGCTCATAATATTAGAATTAAAAAAAAAAAAATTACACATTGAATTAAAAATTATGTATATATATTTTTTTTTTCATTTTTTAAACAGCGCTTCTTTTGCATTTATTATTATTATAAGTATCTTGTAGAAAGATATTAGTGCTTGAGATTGTCGCAGAAAGCCCGAAAAAATTCTGCCACTAGGCAAGTGATATGTAAAAAACCATTCAATAATTTTAAAAAATAAAATGTTTCTCGAAAGCAACCATTTCATGAAACAAAATGTGAGTAATATTTCTAGTTAGTAATTGCAGTTATGTAGTTGAGTTAATAAAAAAATCTAAAATTTTTTTAAAATATTTTATTTACACTGATTTTATGTGTAATAATCTTTTAGGAATCTCCGGGCTAAATATGACAGATTATCTTTATTTAATACTCCTATTATTTTTTGCCAATTCTTGAAATGATTTTATTGCAGGTCAGTTTAAATGTAACTTGCAATTTTTTAACGTGGTTGAATAAAATGTGTTGCAAAATGCGTTCTAAATGTGCTCTTATGAGGTTTTCAAGTTAATTTTGAAAGTTAAGCTCAGGACTTGAAGAAACCAAATTGATGCTGTTCAAATACTACACAGGAATCTGAAGGCAAGTTTATATTTGCTGACTGGGAGAGATCATTCCTTACACAGGACACTTAAATACCTTCATTTCCATTTTTTTTTTTTTTTNTTTTTTTTTTTTTTTTTTTTTTTTTTTTTTTGACAATCAGAGAAAATAAGTAAATAAAAAGAAAATACATTTTTAAATAAAAACAAAATTTGGGGAAAAAAATGTCTTCAAGGAATTTTACATGTCAAAAGTTCTGACCACTGAATGAAAATGCAAAGATACCTAAAGAATACTCTACTATACGAAAGGAGACTTTTATTTGAATTTAATCCCTAAAATTAGACTTTTGTTAAAATTGGACTAAAATTAATAACTACAGTAAAAGTTAAAGAAAAAAAAAAAAGGAGTCCGACATTTTTACGTAAATATTTGCTTGTTTTTAAATATGCTTACACAATATTTTTTAACACCCTATTGTGTCAAATGCGTAAATTTTTTATTTAATAAAGAGAAAAAACTATTGTTATAGTGTTTCATAAATTTGTATTTTTTCTTTCTTGTGAGCTTTAGGCAGAGCCATCCATCACATCACTAATAAAAAGCCTGGTATTTATTATAAATATACTTAGTGATACGTAATACTCTTTTATTAGATTTTGCTATACTCTTGATACGAACGAATTAGGTTTGAAAATAAAAATGAATTATATTTCTAATAAGAATAATTTCCTAATGGTTTGAAAATGCATTTGGATAGTTACTAAAAATACACTTAAAAATTAAAGAATTCTTTGTTACTACCAATACCATTTAATATATAATTTACCTTTCCAAAAACTAGTATAAAAACGAAGGCATTTTGCCACCTCATCATTTTAAAGAGCATATAAAAAAAATGAAACTTGCCATTGTTTAACGTGTTTTTTCGAATTAATACGTTTCATAATCTATTGTTTCTCTAACCAGCAGTTTAAAGTGTTTGTTGATACAGATTTTTCTATTAACTCTTTTAAATTGGAGAATCATTCTTAAGACATATGTAATGTAATGTAATTTTTTCGTGTATCTCTCAACCAAGCAAAAACCATTTCTTAAAAAGTAGAAAAATGAAATTCCTTCTCAAATTTCGCTAACTCCATGATTTTGCTGAATATAGTAGGGAAATTCAGAGAAAAATTCGTGGAGTAGTTATAAAATTATTTTTGTATTTATTTTCATACATCAGCAACCAGTTCCACATTTAAAATAATATTTTTTTTCTTCTTTTTTTTGAAAGGAATCCGCCTGGAAAGCAATGCTATTATTCAGACACGCATAAGAACATCATATGAATAGTTTGAATAAATGAATAAACAAAATGAATAAACATCGTATGAATAAACAAAAAAAATCTAAAATCGCGCAAAATTTTTTTAAATTTATTATCCAACAAATTTACTTAATTTTTTTTTTCAGATCGATTTAATTACTCGTATATATTTTCCCCCTTTTACTAATTTAAAAGAAAGAAAGAAAAACGAAGGGAATATTTTTAAAAATTATTCTATATTGGTTCAACCAAATTACTTCAAAATAAAATCAATAAATAACATTTAAAAATCAAGGAAAGCTTTGTTGCTACCGATACCGTTTAAAAAAAAGAAAAAAAAGGCAAACGGAAAGGATCAAAAGGTAAGCAGTGTAGTACTTCATTCTTAAAAAAAAATTAACAACTGTATTTTTCTTAGAAAATAATAGAAAAGCTATTTAAACATTTACCGTAAACGAATAAATGCGCAATCTAACTTTTTTTTTTTTTAAAAAAAAAAGAGCTTTTGTGGGTATGAAATCTTGCGACAAATTGAATACGTTTAAAAATGTGATGCAAAGTATTGAAATTTTTTTAATATTCTGACCGAAAAATAAAGTTATATTTTATCAGGGTCGGACTGGAAGCATGGTAGGGGACTTATAAAAGTCGAACTATTCTCGATTTCCCGGAAATTTAAAAAAATTGTTGCTAGTTGCGTTATTTATAGCAAAATTTATTAGGAATTTTAAACTTTCTCTAACAAGTTAAATATTTCATGTTTTATTTCTAAAGACTTTTTTTTAATTAACCTAGTTAATATCCTATTCCATAAGAATGAATTTGTTGTAAAATTACAGGATTACTTTTTTTGTTCTATAAAGAAAAAGAAGCAAATTGCGTATAGTTTTGTAATTTGTAAATACAATTAAGTGTCATTTAGCATTAAAATATTTTTTTAATACCCCACTTTTCTTAAAAATTTATCGGAAGGAGCCCAACGCTTTTTATCTCTGATATTACATTTGCCCTAAACTTTGAAGTGACAAGTTTTCTCATCGTCAGTCAGATTAAAATCTGTAAAATTTTTTATTCTAAATTATAAGAATGGAAAAAAACATACTGAAATGTATTACAAAATTAAGTTGCTTTTTTTTCAATAATCTTTTTAACTTAAATGAATATTTGTCCCCAACAGCATACCTTCGCGGATGGCCAACCGCAGTAGCTAGGATCCCGCTATGACGTCAGAAGAGGACCAACAGACTTCCGATTTAATTTTTTTTAGGATACTGCATTAGCAATATTCTGTCTGCAATTCCATTAGCAATATTCTGCTAAATTCCTGGATATAGGAGAAAATCCAATGCCCCCTGAGGATAGTCTGATCATGAGTCTGTTCGGGATCAAAAGGTTGGGTTCTCATCTAGAAAAATGAAATGTTTCGTTCTCCTTTGGGTTAGAGCCTCGCATAAGCGAGATATTGAATGACAGGACTTCACGCTGATCAATAAAGTACAGGGTTGAACTAGTGCCCCTGAATTAGATGATTTTATAGGTTCAATGCATTTGCATTAAGGGGAAGTTAAAAATGCCTCTTATGGTACTTCTATCTGCTAATATTTTAATGAACCACCGTCAGGAATAAAACGAATACAAATGTGGCAAAATTCAAATGCGTAGCAAAGTTATTCAAAAGAATTAAATTGAATATTATTTGACACAGTTCTCTCTAGATGGCGCAATCGAAAAAATTTACTCATTTCTGATTGGATCACACTTACATTATTGATGAAAGCGATTCAAGTCTAGAAACGAATCACCACACGACAACTCAGGCCAGACATCACGGAAGATGTAGTTTTTGTTTTGTGGATTTTTTTTTATTCATTTGTTTGATTAATAAGAATCAGCTAGCTAGAGGTAAACCTCTCGATACGTACGTGTCATAACACTAGTGGCTAAAAAAAATTTAGCTCTGTTTATTTTGATAATCTATTAGGGATTTCTTTCAAAACACAATTTGACGTTTGCTGTTATTTCTATCATCAAGTTTGTTGGCTTAAATAAAGGTATGTATCTGAACTTTATGTTATGTTTTGGAATTATTTGAAAAATTATTACGTGGATGTATTAAAATTTTTTTAAACAAGGATTTTATAAATATTTTTATATTTTGGGTGTTATAAATAGGTGAGGTGTATCTGTTTGGTCTAATATGTTAACATATAGTATTTATCATTATGTTAATCGTACATTTTCTTCAAAATTTATATAAGACGACTTGTCAACAGGAAAGTTTCCCTAAGACATTAAATATATATTTATTCTTTATTTATTGTTTAGTAAATTACAAGTTAAGTTATTTATGTTATCTTATCTCAGAAACATATGGAACTAATTCATTTGTTTACAAGTGATATTATTGTTTTCTTTAGGGAAAAATGTGGCACAATTTTTGTTTTTGTGTCAGCTGCTACATTTCGATACGTAATTTTTACAAAATATCATTCATATAAACCAACTGTATATAAACAATTGACTATAAGGATTCATTTACTTTTTATTATTGTTTACTTATTTAGATGAAGTGTAAAGCGATACTGATTACGTGGTATTTTAAATGTTTATCAATATTCGAATTAACACCATTGATTAATCTGTTAGGTATTTATTTTGTTATAAATGTGTTTAATTTATGGTACTTATAGTTTAAAAATGCATAGCAAATAAATAAGTTAATTATAAAGTTTTTAATTAATTTATTATTTTGTAAATTTTTTAAGAAATAAAAATTTAGAAATTCACGATTACATAATATTATGCTGAATTTTTCTTGTTCTATTAAATTAAAGATTTCCATTTCCTTGTACTTTGCTAATATTTATTAATTTAATTCTGCAAAATAACTGCTGTCAAAATTGGAATATATTTGGATTTTTTTTATAATTTTTGGTATTGCAAACACTTGAACTTGAGTTTTCTAGATTATGCTTTTATGAATGTATATTTTATAAAGAAATATAAATATTTTGTTATAGTCTGCAGAATGCCGAAACTCAAACATATCGATTGACATCATGCTTTTATTATGTTCAAAAATTTTCCATATGGTGCTGTGGTGCCAATTACAACTGCTCAGGCTCAAAGTGGATTTAAAACTTGCAAATTAAAAAAAAAACATATAGAGGTTTCCCAATGGTGGCTATCAATTACACATTTCGATCATGTCCTCTTTTATATCTGTTGCCCGAAAGTTGCTGAGACTTTGCTATTATTTTGCCATTGATCATGATATGAAAATATTCTTTAAAATGGACTCAAGCAAAGGTTTATTTTTGTTAGAATTTTTTCAGAAGAGTCTTTTTTTTCTTCTCAAAACCTCAATTTAAGCAATTAGTTTACAAAATCTTTTTTGCTACCAACATAATTTAAAATGCTAAAAGTTAATTAAACCTTTATGTTGCAATTAATATTGTAGTTAATTTCAAATTATGTCTTCTGTTATTCTATATTGATAAAAAAAAATTAATAGCTAGATGTCTGAAGAGAATAATTTTCAATCATACTAAATATTCAAATGGGTATCGTCCATACATAGTATTATGGATACAAAATTAGGAAGTAAATAAAAATTGTATATTATGCAAAGCTTATTAAATGAAAATAAGCTACTGCTTTATGAGTATTTATATTCGATGGTATGTCTAATTTTATAGTAAAAATATGCGGTACAATGCTACTTTATCTTGCAAAATGCTATCCGCGGATATAGATAAAAATTTTTTTTTAAATGTTCAGAAAAATTTTGTGAACATTTGAAGTATCTTATTGAAAAAATAGTTTAGCATTTATTGATTGATTATGCAATTCCTATTGAACAAAAATAAATGAGCAAAACCAAATAAAAACCGAAGCATTATAAAAAATAATAATCAAAACTCAAAGCATTTTTATATTAAGGAAATTATTGACTTAATATGTTAAAGAAAATTAAAACACTCATAGAATCTGTCCTAAAAAGGTCTCTGTCATATTAATCCTTTATGCCGTAAGACTCCTGGAATTCTAAGTATTTAATAAAAGTAGCAATATCCTTTCTAGGAGCCACTCAGGTTATTTAAAAAAGGGAGAAAAAAAATAATACTGGTGTGCATGTAAGGAGCATGTTTTAATAAAGTATAAAAAATTGTGAATTATTTATGATGAAGCTGCATTAAATTTTCTTTTTTGGTGTCGTTGAAAGTTTGAGGGAAATGAAAGAAATTCTACAAATTAAAAAAAAATCTTACATTCCTACCTTAGCATGATAGTTGTTGAAAAAATTGTTTGATTTCAGATTTAAAAAAAATTATTTTTTCCTTTCATTGTCTAGAATAGTTAAATTTTAAAATAAAACTTTTTAAGGATGTGATTATGGAATATTTTTCATGAAAATTAACACAGAATTATTTAATGTTGTATAGTTAAATAATTAATTGATACGATACGCTTGAGTAACTACATAATACATTGGAGTTTAGGGGTGGTCAACTTGAAATGGCATTTTCTATCACTAAAAGAAGCATTAATATTTATTTAGTAAACAAAAAGTAGAGGACCAAAATTTCAGTTTTAAACTGATTTTATGTAAATTTAAATTCAATGGAAAAAGTCCCAACAAAATATTCGTAATTTATTTTTTAAATGCAAAGAACATTTGCATTTTATGGATGATCTTTCTTTTCCAGTTCTCAGCTTTATCTTACTTTTCAATGTCATTCTTTATCGATGTGTATTTGAAAATCACATATAAAGTTTCTAAGAGCCAAATAGTTTTAAATGAAATACTTTATTTTATAATGAAGAAAATAGTAATTCGATTTAAAAAGGAGGTAATATTATGTTACACCACTTTTTTAAATTGTTCCAGCAAGCATTTTTACTATAAATACCACACTTTTAATGTATGCAATACAATGTTTTGTGCTGTTATGTAGCGAAAATTCCAGAAACTTGGGAAGTACTCCTAGATGCACTGCTGTATCTGCAGGTACTTATTAAAAATAAATTATTCACTAATTAAGTTTTTTTAAAACTACTAGTCATTTTGTTTTACGGTTGGGTGTGTAATGATGTGGTCGAATTGTCATTGCTGTCACTATGCCATGTAAAAAATTTAATTTAAAATTAAGTATAAGTAAATAAGCAAAAAAAAAGACGCTTCTAATTTAAATAAATTCATTTAACATTATTTACAAGACTTGGTCTCAACACGAGATGTGTTGATGCTGGGTAATATTTCCAAGTTAAAAAAGTTGTGGGGAGGAATTGTACTTTGAAGTACAGGGATAGATTTCTCGATTTTGTTGCAATGTCACAGTTTTAAGGACTTTCTGCTTGAAGATAAGGACCTATCTGGAGAATATACCATGTAACAGTCTGATGAAAAATTTCTCCCTTGGAAAAAATTTGGCTTTTCCCTATGTTGCCTCAAGCTATTAATTTAAAGTTTTAGTAAAGTGCAGGTTATTCATTTTGAAAAAGCAATGAAGTAGATATGTGATATTTTTTAATGTTAGTACTTAAATTTTATTAGTGAACTCGTAATTATTATTAAATTAATTTAAAGAAATTTCTTGCAGAAATCCAATATGGCTGACAATTTTGATCCCTGTGAATGTGTTTTCTCTCATGAAGGAGCAATGCAACGTCTTATATCCCTGGTATGATTTGAAATTGTTTTTAGGAAGTAATTTCATTTTTTTAGTGACATAAAGTTAATATTTTTTTTTTCTTTTTATAGCTACGAAGCTCTCAAGGCTATTGTACCACTGAAGAATGCTTTACTAATCGTAAGTATTTGTTTTGAGATATTGTACTTTTAATTAATTTCTCATTTCAAGTTTTTCAAAAAGCTATTTAGATAGCTCATTATCTTTAAAAGTTTATGCACATGAACTTTGTTAAATAAATTTTTACTAGTAGTATTTAAATTTTGGTTTCATAAATTTGACTTTCAAAATTTAGAAACTTCAATACTTTTGACTCAACTAGGTTTTAAATATTGTTAACCTTTTTTAAAATTTTATTAATATCAATTTCTATTTTTAATTCCAGTGAGCTGTCAATGAAGTATATGGTTAATATATATATTTTTTTAATCTCAATAGCTCCTGGCCCAACAGTATCTGAAAGTGGAGGAACTGATGGAACCATGATGATGTTCACTATGGGATGGTTGTTGTTGGCTCTAGTCTTGTATTTTATGCGCCCAGCTTCCTTATCTCTACGAGGAGATTCTAAGCCTTCGAACAATCAAGTAATATGTTATTTAAATTTTAACTATTTTATATTATTCTTAGTGTTGATAATTATCTATTAAAGTACAGAAATGGACAAACTTCAAAAAAAGTTTCTGTTCTATAAACAAGAATCTGCTCAGTGTCTAATCTAGGGATGTAACGAATATTCGGCCTTTTTGCCGAATATTCCGTTGGCAGAATATTTCCACCGCTCTCCTGTCTTATTTATTGGGACTATATTTCCCAGATTGTGGCTACCTTTAGAATGTGTTAATAATCCAAATTTGTCTAGGAGGAAAAATTGTTATTTGGGAAAAAGCTCTTTTATATGAAGATGTTTGTTAGATTAATCTATAACCTAATAATTTGAAGAAACTTAAGTCTCTGAAACTTCATTTATAGATAAACATTCTGTGCTAATTTTCAATATGAAAAATTTTTTGCTAATTTCAATATTAAGAATTGAGGTAGTAGTAAAAGTCTTCTGTGCCACAGATCCTGGGTTCGATCCTTGGGTCGGGCAAGGTTGACTCAGCCTTTCATCCCTTCAGTGGGTCGATAAATGAGTACCAAGCATGCTTGGGAACTAAACACTGGGGGTTCCGCATTCGGCTGACCGGAACATCTGCTCCTGCACCCACCCCAGAACCCAAGGTCAAGAAAACTGAGGTGGGCACAGTAGGCCTTGGCCCTCTATGGGCTGTCGTGCCACTGAGTTTAGTAGTAAAAGTTGTCCCATGGAATTTCATCTGTTAAGAGTCTTCAGTCTCTTTCAACATCTAACCAACTATCCTGTGAGATCAAATATTGTCTCAGGTTTGAGAAAAGCAGGATATGAAGCTTTTTTAGGTTCCTATGACTAAGGAATTACTTTTGTTGTGCAACAATGCCCATCTCAAGTATAAAAATGATTTAGAAGAAGGGAATAAAAAAAGGACAAATGAAGAAGGGGGGAAGCAGAAACTGCTGCAAAATTATGATTTATCTAAACTGTAAGAACTATATTATGAAGAAAATAAGAAAAACAAAACAACGGATAAAGCTATTTATTAATGCAACTAAAATATTAGTTTAAGTTTTGAAAAGAAAAAAAATTGTGAAGATAATTCCATGTCAGAGATTGTTGCGTGATGTCAAAAATTTAAAATCTTCTGGAACTGACTTAAAGACAGCAGCTTAAAAAACTCTTAAAAAACTTTAAGTATCACAGCTTATTTATTTTTTTGGGGGAAAATCTGACTAGCTTTTTTTCCTGCTAAAATTAAATTTTAGTTGATTCCCTTATATATCTAAAAAAATACCTTTTTCTTCCAGATGTTAAAAATTGTTAACTAAAATTAATTATACTTAGTTTTTGTGACATAGAGCAATTTTCTTAATGTAAGATATCTAAATATTTTCTTAGTTTCAAAATATTGAGAAAAATATTCTTTAAGGCAATGTTTATTTAAAATTCAGGTGAAAGCAAGTTGAGAATGTGGATTTTAGAATTTTTGGAAGCAGGTTGGGAATGCAAAATTTTGTATGCATTTTTATCCTTGTTCAAGCTAGACATATATTGAAAATTAGTAAAAAATCCTTATATTTATTGGCTATTAAGAACTAAGATTTAATGTTAAATATATATTGGTAAAATTTACTTATTTGTGAATTAAAAAGGTTTTACTTCCTCTGCAATTGAGTTATGTCTAATGTTCTGCAATAATTGCAAATGTTCTGCAGATATCCTCAAAACTTAGCAAGCTTTTACTAGTTAAATTTTACCATTCCTTTTTACTAAATTTAATTTTATTTTGCAGAATAAATTGCTCCTCCCTCAAAAAAAAAAAAAAAAAAAAAAAAAAANAAAAAAAAAAAAAAAAAAAAAAAAAAAAAAAAAAAAAACCCTGCATTAGTTAAACATAAAATCACTTATGCATGAAATTATGTACTTCAAAAACTTATTCTTTTGGTATTTTATAATTTATTAGTATTTTTAAGGTATGGTCAAAATGATATATTAATTATTATTTGTAATGGCTAGTTAAATATTAATATAAACAAAATTTACAGTGAATTTTTTGGTACATGATTTAACTATATTATACAATTGTTAAATCTTCAGTAATGACTATATTTAGAAAAAACTTGCTGCCCTGAGTCATACGGCATAATTCTCATGACGTACATTGTAAACATGAATACCAATCAGAATTGCATTTGAATTTTTTAAATAATATTTATACTACTACCTCTACTTTGTTAAAAAAGTAGTATCTGCAGTAGTTTCACTACTTAGCTTAAGTGAAATAAGCATTTAACTTTCACAACATCTCACAAAAGCAATGTAAAATCAAAGGTTTTAGGTTAGTCTAAATATTTAGAAAAGTATACTTGTATACGTTTTTAAATTACTGCGATTGAGAATGTGCAGATTTAAAATTGTTATTTTGTAATTTTAAAAGTTTTACAAAATAAATAACATAGCATGTTATTGATTGAGAGTGATATTTAAGTTGTGAATAGTTAATAAAAATAATGACCATAGTTTTATAATGACTAGCAATGGTGTTGTAAATTATTATATTTATTTTTCCCAGGGACCTAGTCAACCACCTCCTGACAGTTCAGTGCAATAATATGTTTATCTGCTACAAGAGATTTTATATTTTGGTTCGACTTCAATGAAGGACTCTGGCTTTAATGAATGCATCAGAAGAATGTTAAATTTTTATACACAATGTACTCCTTATTTATTACTGAATGCTGCAGTGCACTGAAGAACACATATTGTTCTCTATCCAAAAAAGGAAATTATTCCTTAATATTTAGCATTTTTCTGATGCACCATTTAATAATCATAAATCTGCAAAATAAGTTATCACAGTGATAATTTTTTCAAAAAATCTTTGCACAAATTTTCTGAAATTGTACTAAAAATGTTTTCTTTTTTTTTGCATTATTTTAGATCTGTGGTTCCCTAATCAGGATATTAACAAATCCTAATCCTGCTTATAGTAGTTTTTATATGTGAGAATTCACTGCCTATCTTAAAAGAGTGAAATGACTTTAGATTTGGCTATAAAATTTATAAGCTATGCAATAGGCGGCTCTACAATAATCTAAAATAATAGTGAAAAATTAATGTTGCTAAAATTTCTTATTATCATTCAATGTAACTGATTAATAATGAGAAAATGTAGACAGTACTAACTTAAATATGAAAATAGTTGAGATGAAATTTATGTCCGATTATCATTTACCAAATGTTAATTTTCCTTTCACCCCAAATTTCTGATCTCTTTTTCTTATTTTTTAAAAAATTTATATGATGTGTTAAGAAATTAGCAAGGAATTAATAAGAATCAAATGTAGAGAAAATGCTGGAAATTTTATATTCATTAGCAATTCCTTTTCACCATTGAAGGTTTCACTTGACACTGGGGAACCACAAATGTAGAGCATTCCATTCTAGAGTAAAATTTTCCTTATTTTAAATACACTGCGATGGGAGCAAACAGCTTGAATATAGTGTAAATAACTTGCACGAGTGTTTTTGGTCTGACCTAAATGTTATTTCTCTTACGCTGTGATCATAATCCGCATTTATAAACCGTGTGCTTATTATTTACTGATATCATTTATTATTTTTTTGCATTGTGTATGAACGCTTTTTAGCAAGATATTTAAACAAATATTACTAAGTTATTTCTTGTTATGTATAATTATAAATTTAAAACTGCTGCATGTAGTTGCAAATATTGTTATCCAAAGGATTCACATAACAGTTCCTTTGGCACTGTTTAAGGAATTTTGAGTTGTATTATATTTCTTGTATAAATAATGGTTTTGGTATTTTCTTTGTAAATTGTTGTATAATAATAAATTAGTTGTTAAAACTTTATTGCTGTTATTATTAATTGTAATAGTTTTTCAAAAAAATATATTTCATCTGAAGTATTTAGAGCTCAAAATAGTGTTACAAGCACAAGTAATTGCTTAGTTAAAAATTATGCCATGAACATTTTAAGGTTAAATAGGCTTGTTTACCTGGAACAATTTTTTTGTCTCGTTTTCTGTTCCACGACATGTTAGATTGAATTATAGATAGATTTGCAATCAGTATTTTTATTCAATTGAATATGTATTCATAATCAGAATTTTTTTGAAGATTCACATGTATGCCTTTACCCAACTGAATTTCACAATTTTGTATCATATGTAAAAAATTGTATACCTTACAATTAAATTTTTTTCGAATTGTAAAAAAATTTATAAATATTTGCCAAAAGTTATTTTTTGCATGGAATCATCATTGGATAAATGAATTTTATAATTTTGTGCAAAATTTTTTAGCTTTAAAAGTTATCGAGATATGGCAAAACATGTAAAAAATAGAATTAACATTAAAGGGTGTAAGCTTTGTAATGCTCTCCTGGCCACTTTTGGGATAATATTTTCCAGATTAAGGCTGATAGTAATCTGGGGTCAGAAATCCGAATCTATCATAAAAAAGGCATGTTTATTCAGAGAAAATAAGTTCTTGCGTCCGATTTAATTAATCATATTTACTCCTAGAATGTGACTACCAATAACGTTTGTGATGCCAAAGGTGGTTTTCTAAGTTCATTTGCATTGCTCAGTAAGGCCTACTACTTTAAGACAATTACGTACCAAGTTTGATCAACTGCTTAGATTTTTTTATAGAGTAACTTGAAAAATATGCAGAGCAGTTGTTCCATCTGGAAAAACATAGCTAACTGATCCTCAATTTATCTTAACGGCACAAAACAGAAAAACATTTTGATCACTGAAATTGAAAGATAGGTCCTTCAGAATTCAAAAAGCAGGGAATTTAGCCACTAAGTACTGTAATAACCAATTTTATAATCTAAAAAAAAGGGTGCTTTTGTGTATTTGGCTTAGTATTCATGTGATAGTTTATTTCTGAGCGCAACTTATTTATATCTTTAATTGAAAAATGTCCTAGATATGTCAACAGAAAAAGTTTCACGCCGATAGCAATCTACACTGTGAAATACAAATTCTTGAAAAATTTGATAAGTTTTCTTTTTTGGCTTCCTGCTTGATACAGCGATTTCCATGACACAAAATATTCTAAAAATTTTCACTTCTGGATTATTTGCTTGAAAGCCAATTGATTTTCACAGATTCAGTTTTGAAGATTTGCACGGCAGACCGCAAAAATGTACTGATTCAGGCTCACGATATTTTTAACATTCAAATCAATGCTACATGTTTTGTTAAATTGTGTTTTGCAATATTAAAAGCTATTTTTAGCACAATTCTTTCAAAAAGCATAAATGCATAATTTTTCCTATACTGTTTTATTAAATTCACAGAAGAGAATACCTTAAAACTTCACGCGACAACGATTATAATGTATTGCGAAAACTTGATGCTTGAAATAGCTATTTCACCTATTAATGTGTGTCTTATACCAGCCAGAGTTGTTGTCGCTGTTGTTAGACACAATATTGTTTTATTGCCTAGCGCTACTTAGTAGCAATATGTTTGAACTCTAAGAAATACATTTCTAGGCAATATGTTCATGAAGGATCCCAGCTTGATTATATTTTTAAAAAAAAATCTTATTAGTGAGTAATTACCGTTCAAACAGTCAGCAACATAATTAATACATTTGAGTTTTAGTTTTAAAGAATTAAAATGCTGTATAGCAATGTAATACAAAAGGACATAAAATCAAAAGCCAAACAGGGTACGTAATTTTTTTTAATAAAAAAAAAAAATCAGATTTTTTTAAAATTAAAAACTGATCAACGAAGAAACTTTTCGTTGATCAGATTTCATCAAAAATGTTTATTAGTAAACTACGAAAAAACTGGCACAATACTGTAAACACTATGAAAAAAAACTTTCAGGAAAAGGCAATTTATTTTTCATTTATCTGATTTAAAATTTTTGGTCTAACAAAATTTTAAATACAATTACGAATTGATAAAATTCTAATTAAATATTTTGATTAAAGCCATTTTCAAATTAACCATTACACAGGATTATCTTAAGCATTAAAAAAAATGATAGTGGTAGTAGATTTACGTTAAAGTCAATAGGTATTTATTTTATTAAGATACTGATTTAACATTAATTGGGGTACAATTTGTATACAGGTGTATTTTATTTAAGAAGTATTAGGTAGCAGTGATCAAAAATGTATTTAAAGATAGGATTCGTCTTTTTATTGTTCTACTTATTAAAAATTTTAAGGTCTCTGGGAACTGTACATAATTGTTTAGTGTTTTTTTTATTTTTTTTAAAAATTTATTTGATCCAATAATATGATGGAGATATCTTATTTTGCAATTTTTCTTACTGAATTTTAGAAAAAATTGACGTAAATTTATGAATGTAATATTGCTTAAAATTGATGTTTTAGTTTAATTAATAATTTTTTATTTTAATGAAATTTTCGGTTGTTCTAAAAGCATTTTTAGTTATCAAAACACATTATATGATTATCACAACAGGTTTTGTATTAGCTGGATAATACAGAAATGAAATATGAATGGTTTGGGGAATGATAGCGATTAGTCGTACTTTACTTAAATGTAATATTTTTATACCTGATTAATCTTTGGTATTGTTTCCAGATACTTTACAAGTTTCTAATGCTACCATTTGGTAAAAAGTACCATATCACCACAATAATAGAAGCAATTATTTGGTTACATGGATATTATAGTGTTTTTCATCAAATACCCTCTCCCAAACACTTTGAAAATATGGATTATAATTATATTGTGCCAAATTCTTCATATTATGATTCAGTAGAATGCTTACTATGGGCATAGCATCAGGAACAGGATAGAGAGCACATGCTCTACCCCATATTTTCCTAAATTTTAATTCAGAATTCTCAGCCATTTCAACGAAATAATACTGAGATCCATAAAGTACAACTGTTGAAAGTTAGTGTAAGTTATAAAACAATATGACATTTTTAAAATGAATAAAAAAATTTTTTTTTTATGTAGTGTAATAATTTTCAGAGATATTTTTTCTTTTTGTCAAACAAAATTTTTGTAATGAAATTAGACCGGGCCCTTAGCGATTCCGGATTTTTATTGTGGTAATGAGGATATTTTGCAATACTTTTCAAGTGAATTTTCAGTTTGAAAATAGAAATGAAATATAACTCCAAAAAGAATAATTTCATAATGTTTACTTTAATGTTTTGAAATAGATATAGCAGCATTTTAAAATTCTCTTAATGGAAATGAAAAACTGCAACGTTATTTTTATTTATATATTCATTCCTTGAAATTGTAATATATCTTTAGTTTTTCCAAAAACTGAGACTTATCATCATTTTACAACGTGGCTTTCAAATGAATGTGTTACGAAATCTGTCGTGTTTTCAAAGAGTACTTAAAATTTATTTCTGATACAAGTACCGATTATTAACTTGATTATTATTGAATGCAGAAAAGTTTTATTATGTTTAAAAACATATTTAATTCTCTATATTCGTTAATCTTTTAGTGTGATGATTTTAAATATATATATATAATACAATAAAAAGAATAAAAGAAAAGAGAGATTAACGAAGAAAAAATAATAAGTTCTATTAACTGTGCATGTGCTGCAAGTACACAGAGCCCATAAAATAAGTTAAAAAGAAAACAAGGGAAAAAAATATTTTTACACAGAGAATAAATTATTAATAAATGAAATGTTTTTAAAAATTTAAATTTTTTTAAAAAAGCTAGATAACAAAAAAAAGGAAAAGATATAACCTTGTCAACTCATGCGATTATATCCACACACAAAAGAGTGCTTTCTAATATTGTATTAATATAGCCAGAGCAATATAATATATCAATACAATAAGTGTGACGAGCACCAAAAAAATTTTAACGAAAATAAAATATATGTATATCCCCTTGGTTTATACTAATAGAAGGGAGCACTTGGCAATATAATTTTTGTTGCCTCTCTGGTTTATACATCGGGGCCTACTTCTAAATTTTTCTTTCTGGGTCCTACTATGCATGATATATATATGTATATGGAAAATTAGATGAAATTATTTCATTCAACTTTCATCAAAGTTCTATAAATTTTACTATTATCAACTTATGATAATATGATTAATATCAAACACTGCTTCTTCTTATGAAAACTTATCCAAAAGAAGAATACAGAGTCCACCATGACACCTAAGCACTTATTCATTAGCATTTCAATAGCCATAAAAATCTATAATTAAATATGGGGCAATTCCATTGCCAAGTAGTATTATGATTAGACACATACCTTTTCTGTGGATATTAAAATAGTAACGAAACTGACTTTGGCTAGTTGTTATATGTGTCTATACGTTATATTTTTTTAACAGTTAAGAGCAACATTGAAAAGCACTATGTTGACATCATGTTCCTTAACATTAGCTGGAAAAAAAAGCAAAGATTTTATTAAGCAAATGTTACCTACCAAACATCTGTCATTCCTTTAGCTGGTTCCAAAGCATCTATCTTTATTGTTTCTCTCTATGTTGAACATATCTGAATTACATTAATACACATGTTACTATGGATCAAACATGTTACTATACATGTTAATATAAGCCAAAGAATAAAAAACTTTTTTAAGAAAATTAGGACATTTTTTGGAACAGTATACTAGACTACTTTTAAAATGTACAAACTTAAAAAAAAGTATAATTTACTCTAGTTAAGTGAAAGAAAATTTTATCGCTTGAGAATAATAAAAAATACTATTTTTAATTTCAGAACTCCAGTATTAACAATATCCAGTATTAACATAGTTTGACACCAATGTATAAATTCTTTTTATAGAACTGTATAAATAAAAAAATGAAAAGTAACCAGTAGCAGTTAGTGAATATTCCAATGTTAAGAT